AATTCATTCATCCTCTCGTGCCTAAAAGCTCTATTTCGAGCCCGCCAGCAGCTTTGTTAGGATCCCCGACATCTATCTTAATGGATATATATTTTTTATTTACGGGCAAATTCAGTTTTTATAAGAAAAGTGCAAATATTAAAAAAGCGAAAATTCTTTACAAATAAGTTGACCTAAATTTTATGCGTACATAGTCTCTGTCCATCGAAAAAACTATCGGAGAAAAACTTTATAAGCATATCAACGGGGCATTGTTTGCTCCATACCTCGTCATTCGCTCGGTAGAAATCAATTGACTTCATAGGAAGACACTTCCGATTTTATAACATGGAAGACGAAATAAGACACAAAACTCCACTGATATTTGTGTTTTTCTCGACGAGACGTTTGCGACAGTAGCTCCAGTGACCGCTTCTTAGAGTGCTCTAAGCATAAACAGCACAAGAAAACTCTATGCTTAACTCAGTTTGTAAAACAAGTTATTAATGCTTATTATGATAAAAATCGATTTATTGCGTGCCTGATTTCAGGTGGTTTTGCAGGAAAAAACAAAAAGTAGAAACATGGAATGTGGTTCCTAGCGATAATTTTGTTCCCTTCTTCGTTCTGCCTCCTGCTGTCTCGGCTTCCTAATGAACTCAAAAGTTTTCCTTAATTATTACGCAGGTGTACGCTGAGTCAACCTGCCCAGAAATAGCCCAGGAGGAGAGTCACAGTAACATTTAGCATAACTGACGCCGGGACCAGAAAAAAGCAGAAGTCAGAATCGACACCCTCAAGTATTCTATTAAAAGAATAGTTTCCGTAGTACACTTTGTCGGCGTATAAGGCACAATGAAGAATTCTACCAGCAGACAGTCAATATAAAATCAGTTAGGGCTTAGCCGATACTCTCAGTTTTCATGGTCATTCCGCAGTCTTTATTTGTTTTATAAAGCCTCATGCGAATGAAGCGCCTTTTTCGATGTTGTGATCAACTTCCTCAACAACCCAGGAGATAACACGAGCATCCAAATACTGAAATCAGGGTCAACGGAAACGACGAAACGGCCCAAAAGACCCAATATCAACTAAGTTTGTATGGTTACTTTTATCTCGGAGTATTTACGGTTACCCCTTGCCACATGTAGGATGTGGAAATTAATTGAGGGATCTTGTAGCAGCCGCTCCAGTTCTCCTTTTCTCCGGCTCCGTTTTGTCTGTCGATGGCCGCGACAATCGTTGCCAGGCCGCTGACACACAACCACCCCCGCAGATTATAACTGGGCTCCTTTCCTGTCCAGATGCAGTGACCCCCGGCTGCCCCCACAAACAATTATCACCTCATGCGCGTCGGACGACCTGGCTTGATACCCGTAAGCCCCTGTAATTAAGCTTCCCCCTAATCCGTCCAATCTCATGACCAGCATCCAACCAGTCACCCCCATCTACTGACACGGACTTTCACTCCCGCGTAAACTACACAACGCGACTGACGCTCTCCGTGAACGGATGCTTATCTCTGTTGCAAGCAAACATCCAACTTACGGCAACCTGCCCGGCGTACAGAATAAACTAGTCCTCACAGCTCCCTGACCTCTGTCATTAGACGAAACGAACTTATTGTGTGTTGTTTAAGTTGATCTCACATCCTTGACCGCCACAAATTGGTGACCCCGAATTTCCGAACACTGGAATTCCGCAAACTTCTCGTCCACAGCAACAATCTTCCGGCCTGAGGACCGTAATAACTAGGCCTAACAGGACATTTACGTCGTTCAAGATTCTTTAGCTTTGTTCCAGATCACGAAGTGGGATTGGCGATCACAAACACGATGACAGGCCACATACTAACGCAGACTAATTAAATCAACCATTCAATTCTATTCTGTCTGCTTTGCTTTGTTGACAAATCTTCGTGCAGCCTGCAGTCCTGCTGCAAACGGGTAGTTCGAAACTTAAAAACACAAGAACTTGCACGTAGACAAACGTTCTCTGTTCTCGATCAGCAATCACAATGGACCTTGGAGATACGCAACCTAGGTCTGTCAGTTAAAGCCCGCATTTCATTGAGTCGATGCGTTCCGAAACGCTACAACCTACGCATGCGTTCCTTCACTCCTCAGCTGCTCCTGTAGTTGGAAGTGATTGCAGCAATCAGAAGAAATTATTTGACCTCGTAAGAAACTCTGGGTACGAACGACGAAGTTGCTCGGAGAATCTTTTGCCAAAGAAATTATCACCGCAACAAAATGTGCAAAACGAACCGTTGGTAAGTGCATTGGTATCGGCATGTAACAAATCCCATGCGCATTGAACAATGTCAGGACACTGAATAATTATCAGCATCCTTTCTGCAGTGACATTATTAATCAGAAATAACAGCGATTGTTTATTGAAATTCCTATAACAACTCAATATAACCACCGCCAAAGCAAAAACGAACCACTCATTTTATTGGCGGCATATCAGGACGAAACCAGTTGGTTGATCTGAGAATAGAGCCAATCACAATCGCGAGACATGTATTTTCGATATTTGTAGCTAGTCAGCCTGCTTTGGGCTACAGAAAAAATGCGGGGTATTCTGAGAACATCAGGTTGGATTTACCAACTATCTCCTAAAATAACTACAATCGGCCAAATCGGCTGCGACATCATTATTGATGTGGGAGTTTTTATCAGTTTTAATTTTTTTAGAATAAAACTTTGGACGTCCAGCATGCAATAATTTCTTATGACTCGGAATTTGAATGCTTCATCCTAAGAGATTTAAATACCAAATACGTAATCTTTGACATATTTCATTATTCTTTAAGGGGACATTTGTAAACGAGGTTCAAATACGCAACGGGGATGTTCGACTTGCAGAGGGAGACAAAATTCGGTTTGCCGATTCGACAACAATTTACGAATTCGGTATCTCGGAGGTAATGGAAATGAGGAATTTTGTGAATTCCCGTTTTTCTCTGTGGCATCCAATAATAATACCTTGGTTTTAGGAATGTGGTCATTTTACTCACCCGGCTGCTGAGTACCCGCCCTGCGCGCAAGTTGACGGCGGTAATTATACTGAGCCGGTGTGTACCCACGCAGCCCTTCCACCCCTTACACCGTCTTTTAAGAAATTAACGCCGTTCATATCTAATCCACAATGTGCGAAACCTCCAGGCTATGCAACATCTCGTAAAAATAGCACAGAATCGAGCCTTCGAAGATTATGCCGCCCAAATTGCAAGCCTTCCTATCCGCCATCAGAATCTCCGAAACGCCTGACGGTAACGCCAAATAATTATAATATTATGATAGCGACCACAAACTGCGTCTCGGTTGTCCTGGACACAGCTTGATTTTCCTGGTTTTGGCCCTGATGATTCACGACACACTCAGCATATTGAAAGGCCAAGCAGTAAGTTTACTCGGTTAGATCTTCATGCAGTGTCAACCGATTCTTCGTATAACTTCTTCTGGTTCCCTACGTGCATGGTGTCATCAGCTCCGAATTCTAACACAATACAACATACTCGTCGCTAAAAGGCAAACAAAACACAGTTAGGCAAAGAACGGATCGGGTAGGCAGTGAGAGCATTTTTTTAAGAGAGAGAGAGAGAGAGAGAGAGAGAGGAGTGTTTTATTTTGAAAATAACCTTCAAACTTTTCAACAAAAACGGTTCTCCAGTACACAGTGATTACCATAGAGATTAACAGGCATTGGACAGGTGGACATAATTATATATGAAGAAAAATGGACTTTAAGGTGCAAGATCGAGTTTTAGCTTTTGCTTTTCAGCATCTTTGCAGGTGAGATACCGGGCTAGAAATGGCAGTATGGAATTTCGATAAGCCGAAGTGAGGCAAGGGATGTGGCGGAAGCATCGACGCATGGGGCGTAAGGATTTCGCAGCCATTTACTTATTATGAAGGAGATGGACGGTGTCTTTCAGAATTCAGTCAGCAAATTACTCCACCGTATTGAAGTGTCGCTGCACGATGATATCAACTAAAATATGATAGGAAACACCAGCGGTAGAGGCGAGCATTCGAATGACACGTTTAAAAATAATTAGATCTTTTTTTAAGTTAAGCTGGAAAAATAACAGGAGAACAATCAAGAATGAGTGAAAGAATACAGCCATCTATGAATCGCCAGATTAAGGACTGGGGTGTGTGATATGAACGTAGACGACGAATGTAATAAACAAGTTTTTGAATTTTTGCTAAAAGGGTTTCCATATGAAGAGAGAAAGAGAGATTTGAGGATAAAGTAACACCTAGGTACCGGAAAGAAGATACCTCATTAAGAAGAATATCCAAAGGTTCAGGAATGAGAGAGGGTCGCAATCGAAACACACACTGTATTGATTTGTGATTGTTGAGTAGGAGTCCATCATTCGGCGACCATGCGGAGACGTGATCTAAGCCATCCTTTAAAGACTGTAGGTGAGTCCGGTTTTTGAGTGGGTGGCCTACGACCATGTCATCGGCATACCTAACATACAGGCAGTCGTTTGGCGATCTCAAATCATCAGTATGTAGAGAGAAAAGATGAGGGGATAAGATGGAACCTTGTAGTACTCCACAATTATTTGGAAGAATAGAAGATTTTTCTCTTTCCCGACTGGACAAACTGTGTGCGGAAGGAAAAATAATCTCTAAGCCAAAAAACAACCCAGCTCGGAGCGTCATACGCAGCTGCTTTGGTCAGGAGGAGTTGGCGCGGAATTGAGACGGCAAGGCGTGTGCTCTGCAGCGTGAACAGGCAAAACGTCTCGCCGGGGAGAGCGTGAGTAATTTGGGGCGCCGAAGTTAATCGGTAAGCCAGTGTACTTATACGCGGCCGTTAGAGCCCTCCGCAACGCCAGCGCATCCGACCCAGCAACTTAATCAAATCACGAGGTCGCTGAAGACTCATCACCCCCTAGTAGCAAGGTAGCTCGTAGCGAGCTCGCTTGCTACTAGGGAGACTTTGAGCAAGCTCCTAACAAGAAATTTTAAGATAGAACTTTCTTTAATGTTTCAGGTATGGCTAGTTCTTTACCGAATCCATGTGAAGAATCAAAGGTTTTCCCGCCAATAGAAGTTGAACATGTGAGTTTTTTAGTTCTCATTTGTCTCTCTCTCGAGATTTTCATAGTACAAGGGTCTTTTTGATATCACATCAATTTAGATTGTCTTTTCTTTAACTGTCTCTGTGGGTAACTAATAATGCCTCATCTGAAAATGAATGCTTGACGGGACTCTCCTAATCTTTGCCCACCCGTCTAAAATATCACTCTCTACTTATCTGCATATGTTGATTCAGAGGTCTGCACCCCTGCTTGAGTTGTTAACATGATAGTAAATTGTCAAGTACCAAGTATAATAAGTAAGGCATTATTGTAGACTTATCAACTAGCACTTACTTATCCACTCCACTCGTTATCGCTCCTGACCTTGTTGCTAAATCGCAGCGTGATTGTGATTCTTAACCGACTTTACGGATACTCGAGGATATTCAGCTGGTGTTCAAACAACTAAGATCTACATAAGATTGCTTTTGTCGAATTTCTTAAGCTCCTTAACGAACTACAACCGTTCAGTTTTCATTTTAGTTGGAAGAGTGGTTTGTAATTAAAGACCTCTAATCTCTAACGTCAAAAAGCGAATTTTACGAATGCGGTTTTGCCGTATGTCTTTTCTCTTGCTCTGGCTGTTAGGATCAACGTTTGCCGCAGTCTGGATCTTTACACGCAAATAATTTTGCTACTCACTCCACATCATCCTCTTCCACTCCATCAAAATCCCGGAGGTTTACCCCGCCGCAAGTCAGCACTTATCTTGCGCCTATCAACCCGGTCTTCAATAGCAGCGGGGAAGCGTGCTCCGCCATTTCTTTATCGCCGGCCAGAAGTTTCCATTCAGCACAGGCCATAACAACGGTTGCAACCACTACCGCTGCCTCTAATAACGCTTTCTACGATGAACAGACAGTTATCCTGGAACGACTTGCCAGAGAAAGAAAAGTTCTCAGTGGACTAGTTGATCAACTACAGCGCGAAGCTGCTGTCAAGGAGACTAGTATCAAGAGACTGGGAGACGATATTCATGAACTCAAACAGCGGATTGAGCAGAAAGATGCCCTTATCACCCATCTACAGGCAAAGGTTTGGTCTTTCGTAATCTCTATCGTTTTATTGGTCTCCGCTTTTTTTTGTCCCATGTGACTGCCTGTGCTTAAGGTCCAGATCTTTTACTTTGCCTCCGCAGTGCGCTCAGTTGGACGAATTATCTAAGCGAGAGTTCGATCGGGTCGCGCTGGAGAGAGAGATACACACACGCGAGAAGGTAAGAAGAGAGCTATTGCTGATGTTTGACATTCCATGGCCGGAGGAATACTACCTGTTCATCTCCCTTTTCAGCGATGTTCAGCCGCGGAGCTGAAGTGTCAAGCACTGGGAGATGAGTTGAAGGCTGCTAGGGGTGAGATTGAAGAGACACAGGAAGAACTAAAGATCAAAAACAGCAACATTGAAACGTTAGAGGACAGGTTGAAGACAATGAGTCAACAGCTGGACGAACTGGAGGAGTCTGAACGCAGTTCCAGAAAAGAGATTACAGAAATTGAGTGTCAGGTGGGTGATCAATTAGTCAGTGTGGGCTGTTATCAGCCAGGGTTGCCTTGTTGTCTGAGCATACATTTTTCCATTTGTATTGTACATTTTCGAACTGATTTGTTTGATGGGCTGACTGTTTCTGACATAATATCTCAGGGAGAGAAATAGCGTTTCGGTATATTAAATGTTTTTGCCTTAATACGTGTTTGGAGATTCCCCAAAAGACCATTTTTACGTATGAGTCAATCTAAGATTTCTTGGGTATCATCACTTTTTCACATGACGGTTAGCACCGCTTGAAGACCGACTTAACAAAACGTTGCGAAACATGGTCGGTGGTGAACTGTGGTTAACTGTGGAAATAATCATGGAAATAAAACGACAACAGAATTAATACGCGTATAAGCAACTACCCTTCCCATATTATTATTTTTCCTTATTGTCTGTCAGGAATCGCTGTCACAGTAGTTTAATAACCCTTAGTAACTTTGAAACTAAGGTACGGGGAGGAATGACAATGTTGGAAAGATGTTTGTAAAGAAGCCTGTCGAGGATTCGAATGGAATTCAATACTTAAAGCGAGGGCTCGCATTGATATTGGTCAAGCTGCACTGACGTGCCCATAGGAAATGTGGAACGTCAGCCAACGTCATATATGGGATTGACGCTAATGAGTCACTCTTCCGTGAAAAACATCGAATAGGTTCGCTTGCGGGCGGTAAAATGCTATCGTCGCGTCAACGCCATCATTTGTATCATTTCCGTCTGGCGTCGTTGCTGCAGGCTGACAGCTTCGTAGTTCGACCGTTAAAGCTGTATATCGCCGAAATAGGCATAACAATGTCGCTTACCATTGTCCTTCGAGTTTTTTGCCTGTGATAGCCCACGTATATATGACTTGCTTTTGGATCTCTATTCTGGAGCTCCAGAGAATACCAAAGCGGCCGCAAGTTAAACGGCAATCACTTTAGATCCCGATTGGCAAGGCTTGAATGGTAGAGCCTTTGATCTTGAAACCAAATAAAACTGTACTGACGTTCGCGGTTTGTCGGTCCAACAATGAAAATGTGGGGACTGACGATTGTAAATAAGTCGGTCATAGTTATTCGAATTTCCGCTATCCTCTTTCGCAAATCTTCCGGTACGTAAGAGCATTTGCGCCTGCAAACTTAATAGTTTACCTTTGTAGTCCACCTCAGGGACCATCAAAAGCATCATTTATTATTTTAATCATTGATACCATGATGGTTCGACAAAGAAGTCCATTAAAGCTGGGTATCAGTAATTCAGTCTGCGCACGCCCTTTCAAGTAAGAACATTGAAGTATTGGGGACGTCATCTCATTTGGTAAATTAAGCCTCACTGAACTTGCTCATCGTTCAGAAACCCAGCTTTCTGACTTCAAGCGCAATGATTGAGTGCCCTTAGTCAGTTGTTCTTGGAACTAGTTGCGTTTTTTCCGGTTATGATTATTGCAAGACTGTCGTTTTGCCATAAGCACTCCTACGGCGAGCTAAGACGCCTGGCAGGAGTAGAGTTTCCAAGAAAATCTCGTTCGCATATTCTTTTCTATGTGAAAATCGACTCTATATAGGAAGTCAGATACGCAACTCAACTATCGATGACAAAATATCGGTCTGCTCTTTGTAGTCCACTGTTCTTCGTCCCAAATGGGATTTCTGATTATCCTTATTATCTTTGTTATGAGTAATATCATGAACTTAGGCAATGTTTAAGATGTCGAATCTCACCTGCGGCTTTTTCGGTCTCTACCTCCAGCTCAAGGGTTTTCGAGATCGACTCCAACAAATACTCTTCGGTCTGGACAGCAACGGCGAAAGTCTCGCGGAGGCAACCCTCACATTAAGTGCTTCTGCAGTTGGCGACCAGACCAGCACCAATCCTGCGTGCCCTGAGGACGAGCAGAAGGGGGAGAGCATTGACGAGAAAATACTAAACACAGTCAGCAGGCTCATGAAGGATGTCTCCAGCCTGCATGCAGACGTGAATCTTCTACGGCAGGAGAAGGCTTCGCTCGAGAATACAAGGGACGAGATTCAGAATGAGGCCTTCACATGGGCGTCAACCGTTGAGAATTTACTCGTAAGTCGTCCTTTACGTACATATGTGTAGAAATGGTCATTTTAGTCTCCCATCTCCTTGTCGCTTTTCCTTTGTCTTTGAGGGCACTCATTCCATTGCGTTCACTGATCGGGTTACGGAGCATGCTCGTCCCGTTGTACCTTGAGGCTGGATCCGGAGCCCTTTAGGGCAGTCCCATGGCAACCATGGATATATATACATATATATATATATATATATATATAATGACAGATAGCTGATGACGGTTAATATATGGATGAGCACTTAGGACTTTCTTTCAGTTGTTGATGATGCTGGAGGTCTAATGAATAGTTCGTATGTGAGCATAGGTCTACGAGTTCAAGTAAGGCCATTGCGAGAACATCGAGGCGTAGGACTGTCGGAACTCTTATGTGCATTGCCTTGCTAAATCGAGCAGTTAGGAGACTACGTCGACGTCGACCATTAGCTCGTCTGGGAATATCGTGATTATCTGTAATTTCATTAAGATCTCTACAGAATTCTCGATGAACGTTTTACAATTCCTTGTAAGTGGGGGAGGCTGATGAACAGCCTCTTTGAAATTTTGCAGTCGGATGCACCAGTTAACGGTATTATCGGCCGCACTGTAATACCGGCGCTTCTAGCCCCTTCTCTTTTTTCCTGAGATTTTTTCTACCATGGCAGCTAACTCAATGTGCCGACTGATGCATGACACGTCTGATTGCATGGCTCCGAGTAACTCTCATAGGGCAGACGCCGACGATACAAGTCGTGTCAGTTTTCGATATTCGTTTCTCATCTCGTCGTCAAACTCATGGACGACTTCCTACAGCAGCTAAATCCTCATCCGGGCCTAGCGAACTGACCAAATTGTGCAACAGTACGAGGCTACTGAAGCCCACCGCGCTTGGCTGTGTTCGTTCCCATTCGTCCTTTTGACAAGAATTAAGTATATGCGCGGGGTTAGAAAGCGCTGACTGTTTTTATCCATTTTCACCAGGGTTGTAACACTTTTGTTTTACTGACAGACGTACGCATTCCACTTAACAACACTTCGAGTATTTTTTTAACTGCCTTACTGCTCTCTGTGCCGATTCTTTTAAGTGAGCTTTCCTCTTACTGGAGAATTACGTATAGGCGTGCAGAAGAATGAAGCAATGTTAACCCTTCAACAGCGCCGACACATTGGGACGATATACTTCAGCGAATATCATCTTGCCGACGAAGAGCCGGCCAAAACTCTGCCGAACAAACCTACTTTTAAAAATATTGTGGGCAGTGCTCCACGGTTTTTTCTTACCCCTCGGATATACTTAACCCTTACCGTACCTTTGAAACTCGTGCATGGAATCCAAATTGACCATGCCACTGACATGGGTGAAATTGATAGCGAAGCTCATGAAGACTAGTTTCAACTCCAGATTTATTTACTACGACTTCTAAAACAATATATCGGGCAGCTGATACGGATTATCACTAACACGCAGTCGCGGTTGCTGTCGCGAGTCTGCCCCACGCTTTATTTTTTTAAAGAAACCAACGCTATTTTCGTCCTCCTCAACTGTATGCATCAGATTAACTACACACCTCAAAGCCCACGTGAAAATCTTGGCCGACTGACTACCCACCAACGCTTATTCCCTGCAAAGTTCAATTACCGTGAGTCATGATCGCCGTCTCTGTCTACTAACCAGCTGTTCTCTGTTGTCAGCCAGTGCACTCCCCTTGTCGATTGTATTTTTTTGACTACTGCTGGTTTTCCAGTGGATTCTGGTCCACTCTCAGCCCCGGATGTTTGGTGCTGGTGGTTTGATAGAAAAATAACGAGGCGGTCGACGTTTAATGGACCTCGGTTAATCTCCTGGTGCCAGTTCGGTCGCTATTTCTTGAGTTTGGCTGTCATGGTAACCATCCCTCATGCGCGGATGAATTCGCGTGGCTCCGTAACATCGATGTTTTGCCACGCTCAACTTGCATTCCTTTGTGTCCTTTTAGACATGTCTGGATTCCTTTGTATTCTTGTTACAGAAGCATGAAAGCGATGGTCACTGGATCCCTTCTTCCAAGTTGGACAACGCGCTGAACGTTGTTAAGTCAATGGTGGCCAGAAATAACGTGTGTGCACCTCTTTCCATCACGCAGTCATGCCTGCTACTGGCATTGGAAATATGGATCGCCGAGAGAGAACGTATGAAAGAGGCCTTCGCGAATAGCTTGACCTCTATCAAGGCCGTGGGACTTCAAGGTCATTTGATGATATTAATGCACATGTGCCGGTTTTTGCATATTTTAGACCGATTTAGCGTCAGGATTCCTCTTCAGAGTATATTCCACCCATCATAGTGTACCAGAGATAAATGGCTGAACAAGATTTAATCAGACTCCACCCTTATTCTGACCGCAACTCCCACTGCCGTCGGTGGTACTGATTAAGTGGTGCTCCTTGACCAAGGAGAAGCTAGGTCACCTCAGACGGAGGCCGTCTTTAAGAACAAACCACGGGCCCTGCTACAAATGTTACAAGCATTCCTTGAAGCAAAAGAAATACAGGAATATTTAAGTCTTTTGCTGTTACTCTCAAAGCCTTGTCTTACAATATTCGTGGTGTTGGGCACTTTAATGCCCACTTAGCAAACAAACACATGCGCAGGGAATCTGCCAAGTCGATAGAAGCGAAGAGACGAGTCCCAGGAAGCAGTCTTGAAGAAGGAGACACGATCGCCGGGACAAGAGCTTTATTAGCCTGACGTTTCGGATTCCTGCTCTAACCCATCCTCAGAGACAAAAGCAGATATGGGTGGTTCCTGCACAAGGGGCTGCATTATTTATAGGATGCAGTCGTCATGCTACCGCGTTGTGCATTGTGCACTGGGGGCGAGCAGTATACCCGCCGGTGCTCATGCTGGCGGCGGTGGTGCTGGTGGAGGTGGTAGTAGTAGTAGTAGTAGTAGTAGTAGTAGTAGTAGTGCAGTAGTAGCAGAAGTAGTAGTAGTCGTAGTAGTAGTAGTATTAGTAGTAGTAGTAGTAGTAGTAGTAGTAGTAGTAGTAGTAGTAGTAGTAGTAGTAGTAATAGTAGTAGTGGTAGTAGTAGTAGTAGTAGTAGTAGTAGTAGTAGTAGTAGTAGTTGTAGTAGTAGTAGTAGTAATAGTAGTAGTAGTAGTAGTGCAGTAGTAGTGCAGTAGCAGTAGTAGTAGTAGTAGTTGTTTTTGTTGTTATTATTATTATTATTGTTGTTGTTGTCGTCATCGTCGTCGTCGTATTGATGCCGATAATTATCGTTTTTATTAATTCGGCGGCTTTCCTTCTTTTAGATCCGGAGTTCTGCCCTCCAGAAATTGCCGAAAATGAACTTGCCTGGATACACCAGCTCTCTGCTCTCAGTGTTCGCGTCCTTAAAGCCGTCTCGCAACTGCGTAAAGACCTACAGACTGCGGAGCAAGAAGGAAAGGAAGAACTTCGTAGGATCACAGAGGAGATGGAGAAACGGATTGGAGCAGCATCTGAAGCCTCCTCTGAATGCAAGTGATCCGGAATGTATTATTCCTTTTTGTAAAAAAACTGACCGTTTGGTGGCCACATTCAGAATAGTTAACACACCTGGCCAGTTTTATAACGAGTGATGTGGAGGGCACCAGCCTACCGTGTCAGGTAGTAATTTGTCCGTCGACGACCACAAATGACCATCAGAAATCCCGGTCGGTGGGGAAGGTGCAGGAATGGCTTTCGCGCACCTCTGATTCAGCAAAATGTGGTTATGTAGCCCCACCTGATGAACACAATACCGTTGGGGTTAGGGTTAGGAATTAGGAATAGGGGTTATGGTTAGAGGTTAGGGTTAGAGGTCAGAGTTAGAGGTTAAGGTTATGGATTAGGGCAACTATTTTTCAACCACTCAAATTACAATCGCGCATTCCCAATAGTTTTTCTTTTGCATACAACTACTTGACCTCGCCGCCTGTGTGTTCCCCGACCTCACCTGTACAAACCCCTCTTATCGCCAGTCCCATATTACAGGTGTCTGGGGTTTGCTTGCTTCAGGTGGGGCTACATAACCACATCTGACCCCCCCGATGATTCTAGGAATGGGGCCCTGGCCATCACCAGTTTGTGGGAAGTGATTGACTTCGCTCTAAGCTTCCATCTGCGAGGGCCACAGCGTTGCTGAGGCTTCTCCCATAGCCTGGCACTACACACCAATTCGAGGGAGTTTTGTCAGACACACATCGTCTCCCCTAATCTGCTTTCGCAGCCAATCGCAGCAGCTAAGGGCCGTGGCCGCTGGCTCCTAGTGAAACAATAAACTGGAAACGGGCATTCCAGCCCATCTGTTATTACCGACAAAGACAAGGGAGACTGGAATGGCCATTTCTGGCTTATTAGCCGTCGTCAGCCAGTCATACCCAACCCCGAAGTGTGGAACACTCGAGGCTCGAACTCGCGACCTATTAGTTAGAAGTCCACGCCTCTAACCACTGGGCCACGAGCCTGTTGCCCTGTCGGTTTCGATCGAGAATATACAATTCCAGTCCCTCTTTCTGGTCTTTGCGAGCAAGCCTTCTTGATTAGCGAATGAGCCTAGTGACACAATCGCCTGTGTTGGTTTCAAATCAGAACTTCAAGGCAAAGCGGAACGTTGTCATTCCGTCATGCAACCAGGCTAAATCAGTGAACACCAGGAAATCTCATCTGCAGACCTTGTCTCATGCGAGGCAAATCTGTAACGGGCATATCTTTCGAAGCGGGGGTGTGGAGGGCTAGATCGCAGTTGGTAGCCAGGAACGGGCAGGCGGACGGCGACCTTAACCCTAATCCTTACCTTAACCCTGGCCCTAACTCTAACCTCAACCCTAAACGTTAACCGTTAGCCCTAACGGCAACCCTAACCCTAACCGAAATCGTAAACGTAACCATAGCCCTTAGACATAGTCGTAACTGAAAGACCTTACCGTAATACTGAATCCTAATCGTACGCTCAAACCCTAACCGTAACCCGAAAACCTAAGCCTAAAGGCATAACCCTAACCGGAAAGACGGAAAACATTAACCGGTACCCTAATCCTAACCTCAGACGTAAAACGGAAGCCAAATGGGTTGGATGTGATTATGGAGCTCCACAAAATAGCCCCAGCAAACAAACCCCCCGCCACCTCTAATACGGGTCCTGGCTACCAACTGCAATCCAGCCGTGTGGAGCAGTTCACCGGACTCTACGTATTATATTATGCGATTGCAATAAGGCCGGCTCAACGTCGCCGAAAACCTTATGCTGTTGTGGTTACTTTCATTCGACGTAAAAGACGCAGGTGCCACTTGGTATTAAACCTCACTGCATGCACAATTGTCTCACTCATACATTTATGCGGTAGACCCATTTCCACTATATTTTTGCTACCTGCTCGTTCCAACACTTTTCTTATCATGCTGTCTTGTTTAATTTCCGAAGCAATTACGGCGTGAACTTGGAGTAAAGCCTTCAGGACAATGCCTTTTGTGGCTTGGTTCGAAAGTTTGTATATGACTATTCGAGTTGAAATCTATCAGCTACTACTGTGGACTGACCGCGTGGTATTCACAAGCTGCCAACCGGCTACGCCATCGGCATGACAAAACACTCTATATATGTATACTACTAACTACCTGTTGGTAGCTTTTGAAGTTTGCGCGTTTGTTCTGCAGTAACTGATTAATTGTTTATAAACTTCCGAACCAAGCCAAAAACGGCTTTGTTCTGAATTATTTACTTCATGTTCGCTCGTTAATTTCCCCGAAAATTAAACAAGCTATTATGAAAACTGGAGTTCATATACCGAAAAGCACGTGGGGAACATTGGGGGCCCACTGGTGAGCCGGACCCCCCGTAGCTGCGTCATGCAGTGGCCCTAGGTCGGTGAAATACGTGTGCCTGGGCTTTATCTAGTACCTGTGCCGTCCGCATGGTAAACCACTTGGTTCTTTTTATCGTCTCGGAGATGAAGGAACTGCTTTTGGAGGGTTCTCTACGCGCATTGAGAAACAGTAGCTTATCCATCGAACTTAACGACAGTCACTCTCGTCTCTGGGGTTCCCGGTGGCTGAGTCGACATTCTCGCCTGTTTGGCTTGGTCCCCCCTCCTGCGTGAAACAAACTTCACCCAGACGCTTATCTGGTGACGGAATCCTGAGCCCCCTTATTTCTTTGACGAATGCTGCACCATCCACCTTAGTGGCCGAACATCAACACCATAAATTGACAGCCGAAACAGCGCACTTGCCGACTCACGTGTCCGTATGGCCTTCACAACGCAAGAACCCGCTGTTCTCATTGGTTAAAATGACCCAACTAGATGAAAGTTACAGGCCCGTGCAGACCTAACTGTCCTTGGTCAGCCAATGCCCGCGCGAGCAAAAATATTGATTTTTAACCGTTGACCAATCACGCTGAAACGGCGTGTCTTCGGCGGAATGGGCAAACCCCGTTGCCGTGTCTTTACGGATGTGGCTTAACAATGGCTGCGCAGTCCGTAAGTGAGCCCGGGAATTCCTGAACCGTTAACGAACTGATCACAGTAGACCATTGTTACTGGCCTATTATATTTGCCGATTTTTGGACCGAGGGTATTCTCTAGGTCGATGCTTGTAAGTGTTTGTTAGCTAGCCACTCTTAGCAAGGCATATTCTCATAACAGGGTGTCCTTTCTAAATATTTTGTCCAAAAATTCGTTTCAGCTCCTTTCTATAATCCGACTACTTTCTTAAAATAAAACCGGCGATCACAACATGTGCTCGTTGAATTAGTGAACGGAGAAGGTGTCATATTATATGGTATTTCAATGAAGCAAAAACTGTTAATCTTCTAATTTAGTATTTTCTTTGCCCAGAGATCGAGATAAGACGGGAATAAAATGTGTGGCACCATTCTATGCGCAGTCTCGGTGAAAAAAAATTGCCAAACTAGTATTTTTGGATTTAAACGGACTGAATTATCCCCACTTCATATAAATGTTTTCAGCACGTGCTTGAGGGAACTGACAGACAGCCCTCGTTCTTTGGGCGACGCGGTCTTTGTTACTGGCCTGGCAAAACGTGTTAATTGCCATCTGACCACAATGGTTGTTTGATGTGCATCGACACGTGAACTAGAAGTGAACAACAGTGAATTGTGGTTAAGATAAATTTTGCTCGAGAAAGGTAACTAGCCCTGGTATTGGGGGTTGGTAATGTGTAGGGGTCCTTTGTGACAGACAAGTATTCTGATTGCTGCCCTTTGGAATTTTTGCTGCTTTTTCAGGGGAAACGAAGATGCAGAACTCTATTGACGAGGTCACCAAGGCCGAGCAAGAGCGTTCGAAAAAGGCGCTTGCCGTAAAGCAGGCCATCATTGAGCAACTTGAGCAGAATCTTGATGAGTTGACCCAGGTGCGTACTATTTTCTCCCTTATTTTTCGACTCTCATTGCCCGGTATATATATACAGTACCTGTGCTAACTCATGAAATGTCACGAATTAACACAGGTTAACGCCTTTAACGCAAACAGATTAATAAGGTTACACAAAGAATTTCCATCCGAAAGCTTTAATAGCGTAGGAAACTGCTTGAATATCAGGAATCCTCCGATTTCGCCTTAATCCGGCCCGTTTTCTATTTAATATACAGATCCGTATCAAACTTTCCTTCAGAAAACGGTCTTTTCGTCCTTATTTCAACCAAATAAACACAAATAACGACACCAAAAATACACTACATTGTCCACTATAATTTTGACCTCGGCATTTCATGAGTTAGCACAGGTACTGTATATATATAATGGTACGGGGCTCACGCATCGTGTTACGGAACCCACTCGCCCCGTTATGTTTTGGGACTCCCTCTCGAGCCTAACCAGCAGCCGCACGGCGGCTCGTAATATAGTCATAGTGACGTTACCGACAAAGACAGGGAGAGTGGAATGGACATTTCTGGCTTATTAGCCACCGTCGGCCAGTCATACTCAATCCGAAGGCGCGGAAGACCTAAAGCTCGGTCGCGCGACCTGCTGGTTAAAATTCTAACGCCCCTAACCACTGAGCCATGGACCGTTTGTCTTGTCGATGTGCGCTTCTTCTACCATTGCTAATATACCCGATCGCAACCGACAGGATAATGAGCCCATAGCTCGGTGATTAGAGGCGTTGGACTTCTAACTAACAGGTCGCGGGATCGAGCCCCAGGCGTTGCACACCTCGAGGTTGGGCATGACTGGCTGACGATGGTTAATAAGCTAGAAGTGGCCATTCCAGTCTCCCTTGTCTTTGTCGGTAATATCATTCTGCCTATATAATGCGCCGCTGTGCGGCTGCTGGCGGGGCTAGAGAGCCCCAAGGCACAACGGGACGAGTGAGTTCCGTAACGCGATCGCTGAGCACCCCTCTACCATCATATATGCATATACATATGTGCGGACCAAAAAATCCGAAGCATCCGTAAGGAATTCGGATGGGTGATTTGTTCCGTCTCGTGGCAACTGCTTGAGCATTCACAATTCTCACTTTCTTTGAGAAAATCGTCCTTGTTTTTAGACCAATACTGGCTACGATTTGTTTGCTCATGCAGCGCTAGTAGCACTTTAATAGCAAGACATCTGTTGGTGGCCAGCGCCTGACTGAGACGAGGGTGGACAGATTAAGTCTCAGGAGCACTTGTAGATTTCCTAGGATTGGCGCGCGAATTAGCGGACGTGGAAGTCCCAGGATGTACCTCAGAGAAGTCGGGAGCCATCCCTGGAACAAACGGGAGGATTAATCTCAAGGTGGTCTATCTGGCCGTTAGTTTATATAAAAACCTAAAATAGACTAGTCCCGGTGCATAAGATACTCTGGACACTCCCTTACCACTATCTTTCCAACAAAATCACCTACTACTAGGAAATGAATTTCCTCACCACAATCCAGCCTCCCTGTTAGCCATCAGTTGGTCAGCCAATGCAAGTAACTACCACATGCCGCCTTATCCGCCGAGAAAAGTGGATATTTAAGCACTGTTGTTTTATCGCGCTTAAAATAGAAACGTTTGTGCAAGTTGGCTGCAACATGCCATCTCACGTGTGGCAAAGCCAGCACTTTAGTACTACTCGTAATTGTTTAAGTTCCGTAAATATTCCCATGTTACAATTGAAAAGTCAAGATGGCGAACGCACGTTTTCGGTAATTCTTCCTCAGGCCAATACAATTACATGAACGAATGAAAATGTACAAAATCAACAGTGTTTATAGATGCCTCAAGGGCTATTAAGTCACTAACACTCATCATCCCCACGCCGCCCGCATGAGAAGGTCGGCGGGTGTTAGTCGTCAGAGCTAGGGGAGGGGGGGTAAGAAAGTCTTTGAGTAATGATCTTGGGTTGAGTACACGGAGTACCCATCATCGTGATTAGGGATTTGAGGCGCCATGGCTTCATCACTTGGGGTTGGCGTTGGCCACGGCAGCGAAAGCGCTTGTATCAGAGTTTTCTGACAGCATAACACCGGATTCACTAACCGTATAGCTACTGCCTCGGCCGTTGCTAGTGCCCGTTGGCGTAGGCCTTTTGAGAAACATGTTGGTGTCCGGTAGACAACCTGAAATGCTTTCTTGAGGCATCTATAAACACTGTTGATTTTGTACATTTTCATTCGTTCATGTAATTGTATTGGCATGAGGAAGAATTACCGAAAACGTGCGTTCGCCATCTTGACTTTTCATAATTGTTTGTTGAACACCCTTCTGAGGGCATCGTCAGTACAAATGAAAAGTCTTTATTGAAACATATCAGAACGAATGAGTACGTACGGCGACCACTTTGGACTTATGAGTGTGAGATTCTAAGATGAGCAAATGGTAAAATAATCTTCACCGAGAAAGATATAAAATACGGTAGATGTACTAACTCATGAAATGTTAACCGAAATCCTGAAATGTGTTTTCGACTTTAAAAGATAACTTAGGTAGGATTGTAATATTAATCATCGTGCAGCATAATTTCATAATAGTTTAGTTACTTTAGGGTGCCGGCGTTTGAACGAACTTCTCTCCGGGGGACTGCAAGAACCACACTCTGCAAAAATTAACTACTTAAGTAGCATGCATTTCCCTTATTGATCTTCGACGCCCTTATAAATTCGAAAATACTTCATAGAAAACGCGCAAAAAATAACTATTATTTTGCCCATTTTGTAAAAAATCAAGTCTTCTTCAATTTTATACTTGAAGGCGGTTTATAATTCGCTTTTTAAAAGGTTTATAATTATGAGGTTTTTTTAGACCGTGAAATTCCCGTTCATAAATCATCATGTTCCCGCATTTACTACTGTTGCTTGTAAATTTCACAATACAGTTTAAATCCACTGCTAAATTGTATGAAACCCATATGGTCTCCTCTATGTAGCGTATGTAAATATATTGTTTCCCGTACGCAGAAAATATACAACTTATAGTTTTGAAACCCCTAATGCAATTGCAACGGCAGGTTGACTTCAGAATTATTTGGGAGTTGTAAAAGTTCTTTAAAACTGAAAGTTATTCTTCCTTCATGTAAATAATTTAAAAAAGACGTAATCTTCTACCAAATGCGCAAAAGAATGAATATTTGTATGCATGTTCTCTAGTAAGTATATTCGAATTTATAAGGGCATCGAAACCCAAAGATAAAAATTCCTACTACTTAAGTATTCATTTTTACACAGTTTAGTTTCTGTAGGCGGCCTGAAAGAAGTTCATTCAAAAACCGGCACCTCGAATTAAGGAAACCATCTTGGGATTATGCTGTCAATTAATTTTACAATCCTACTGAAGTAACCTTTTCGAGTCAAAAAACGAATTTCAGAATTTCAGTTAACATTTCATGAGTGAGGTGCGGGCGGTACCGGACCGCTATGCACATTCAAAGCGTTCCTCGTCAAGGCGAAATAGTAAACTGTGGAAAGCACATTACAAACCAAACTGCTGTAGATGCAATCGTAGATCGTCCTTTATTTACGAAGGAACCACCGGCGCGGTGGCAAGACAGAGGAAGTCAGTATAGACTGATTCTTCTGAAAAACTTATTCTGCTAAATCAATAACTGACGATGGTAGGGTATGCAACCTCTGAATGGTTGTTCAACAACCTACCTTCTCATCTTATTTAGGTAGGTGTGACTCTTTACGGTTTTTCTGGCAGTCGGTCACGAAAGCGGTTGGATGATGTGCTGATTCTCACATTCCCAGGCGTTAATTACGTTTAAGGTGCCCATATCAGGCTCAAAGTTATAGTAGGTGGGCTAACTCATGAAACGTCAACCGAAATTCCGAAATGCGTTTTCGTTTCGAAAAGATTAGTTAAGTAGGGTTGTAAAACTAGTCAGCCTATAATATTTCAGTTACCTCTGGATGCCCCTTTTCGAACGAGTTTTCTTCCGGCTGCATGCAAGAACTACACCCTGTAAAAAATGACCACTTAAGCAGCATTAATTTTTCTCATTGATTTTCGATGCCCCTAAAAGTCCAATTATATTTCCTGGAAAACATGCTCAAAAATATTCATTCTTTCGTTCATTCGGTAGATAATTGCGTCCTCTTCCAAACCTTTACTCGAAGGAAGGGTATAATTCGGTTTTCAAAAACTTTTCCAATTCCCGAATAATTTCGAACCCACTCTACCGTCATACTTTGATTCAGGGTTTCCGAACTACAAGCTGTATGTTTTCTGCGTACGGAAAACCACACATTTCTTTAGGGTACTAAAGGGAGACTATATAGGGTTAGTAAAATTTAGCAGTAGATTCGATCCATATTGTTAACTTTACAAGCCACATTGGTAAATGCAGAGACATGACGATTTATGAACGGTCATTTCACGGAATTTAAAAGTCTCACAATTAGGAACTTTTCTAAAACCGAATTATGTCCCGCCTTCGAGTATAAAATTAGAAGAAGACGTAATTATCTTCCGAATGAGTAAAACGATGTATAGTTTTATGCATGTTTTCTATGAAATATAATTGGACTTTCAGGGGCATAGAAAATCAATGAGAAAAATGCATGCGACTTAAGTAGTCATTTTTAAAGAATGTAGTTTTTGCATGGAGCCGGAAGGAAGTTCATTCGAAAGCCGGCATCCTGAGGTAACTGAAATATTACAGAATTATGTTGCAGGCTGACCAGTTTTACAACCCTATTTAATTAATCTTTTCGAAACGAAAACGCATTTCGGAATTTCGGTTGATATTTCATCAGTTAGCCCACCTACTGTAGGGTTAGGGCTATGTTTAGGTCTAGAGTTAGTGTTAGGAGTTGTGCTATACTTCAGGCTAGGGTTGTCAAGCTTGAGTTCTGGTCTGGATTTGGGGTTGAGACCAGAATTAGGGTTTTGTTTAGGGTTGGAGTTTTAGGATTAGGATCGGGGGTAAGTTTGGAATTTTATGATTATGGTTAGGGGGGGTTAGGGTTAAGTTTTAGGGCAAGCCTAGGGTTTTAAAACTAGAGTTAGGGTTATGGGCGCGTTTGTGTTTGACTCAAATGCTTACGGGTTAACGGTTTGGGTTAACCACTATAGGCATGACCGCGGTTGCAGTTCTCCCATACCATGCCCCTACCCAATTACTAAATAAATAGTTTTACTTAACTCCCATGAGGCTACTGTCACATTAAATCAAGAATACCCTTCCAAAAAACACTCACGAGTGAATCTTGGATCGAATAACCAAACCTGCACGGGTCTCAATTTGTATTCATAATAGGTAGTCAGATATGGTAAAAAAAATGGACAACATCAAAAAATCCCTGAAAATGGTCTGAAAAAGGCATAAATTGAATGCGATTTGTCAGTTCTTAAGGAGAAAAAAACCGTCACTCATTAGAAGGAGAATATTCGTGCCGGACGGGACCACCCTGCAGGTGAGAGTATTTAGTTGTTCGAAACTTTCCTCGTCAAAGGGAGAGTTCCTAAACCGGATGAGGCTCATAGTGGCGAGAGAGGAGGAGCTAACCGCGATCTTCCACCGTCCATTTGAGGTCTAGACGGTGAGGGGACATTCAGAGACCGCTAGGATCGTTGAAGCTTGAGACAAACGACTAGAAAGGTGGCGAAACAGAGAAACCTGTCGTGATCATCAGCTTTTTGATTAAGGTCAAAACGATGCCGCGAAGATCATCCCCGCAGGGGATACTATCAGTGGCGAGGAGAGTAGCTAAAATTTGGCGGGTTTCCAGCTGAACACCTAAAGCATGTAAGATCTAATCATGAAACCCTAGACGACCCTTTTCAAACTCCAGAAGTTGAGTGTTTGTGAATGAAACAGCCGATAATGACTTAATGCTTTCAGAGGTAAGATACTTATGCAATTTTGTTTAAAATTTTAAGGGGAAAATTACATTAAACAAAAGTATGTTTGTAGACAAAAAAGCGAATGTTCAGACCTGGAGCGAAGAGACCGTAAAGTAACCACGATGAAAGCACGCACATAGTCGATCCGTTGGCTGAAATTATCAGCACGTTCTGCATACTGTTAGGCCAAAGCTATCCACAACCCTTCCTTAAACATTTCTCGTGGAAGGAACACCTTAGTGACTTCCATTAGCTGCCACTCCTATCTGTCCCTCCCTCGTGAAGCTCCTCCGACAAAAAACCGAAGAGTTCGACTTGAAGGTGTCGGAGATGTCGAGTCAGGTGAAGTCTCTGACCGTGAGTCTGCAGAACCACGTGGATGCTCTGGAGAAGGTGAAGATGGAGCACGAGACGGAGCTGGAGGAGACGCGCTGCCGGGTGGAGACGGCCTGCGAGACCAAGTGGCAGGCCGAGGTGGAAGCGCATCGTGAGCAGGTGCGTCAACACGCGCGCACCATCTGCGTGATGGAGGAACGTCTGGCACAACTGGCCAAGGATGCCAAGGACGCCCGCGCAGAGGTCAACCGGCTGCATGCACTGCGGAGAGGTCAGTCAGGCAACTGTTTTGCATTTCTGACTTATTAGCCATCGTCTTCAGCCAGTCACACCCAACCCCGAAGTGTGGAACACCCGGGGCTCGAACTCGCGACCTGTTGGTTAGAAGTTCAACGTCCCTAACCACTGGGCCACGAGCCCCTTGCCCTGTCGGTTTCGATCAGGAATATACAATGGTAGGGGGCGCTCACCGATCGTTCTTACGGAACTCACTCGTTCCGTTGTGCCTTACGGGCTCTCTCTCTCGAGCCCAACCTGCAGCCGTACAGCAGCGCATGATATTGGGAGTATGTTATTACCGCGCGCTGAGGTCAACCGGCTGCATGCACTGCGGAGAGGTCAGTCAGGCAACTTTTTCGCCACACTGGCTTATTAGCCGTTGTCAGCCAGTCATACCCAACCCCGAAGTGTGGAACACCTGGGGCTCGAACTCGAGACCTGTTGGGTAGAAGTCCAACGCCCCTAACCCCTGGACCGCGAGCCCGTTGTCCAGTCGCTTTCGATCGGGAATATACAACATGTATAACATTCCGCCTATATCATGCGTCGCTGTGCGACTGCTGGTTGGGCTCGAGAGAGTAAGGCACAACCGAACGAGTGAATTGCGTAAGAACGATCGGTGAGCGCCCCCTCCACCACTTCTCGCATTTATTAAAGATGTCCTAGTGGCAAAAGTGGTCTTATGTGATTATGTAGCCCCACCTGAAGCAAGCAAACTCCAGCCACCTGTAACACAGGACCGGTGGTAATAGGGGTTTTTACAGATGCGGCCGGGGAACGCACAGGCGACGAGATCAAGTAGTTGTAGGCAAAAAAAGCTATTGGGAATGCGCGGTTGTACTTTGAGTGGTTGAGAAATAGTTGCCCTAACCCCTAACCATAACCCCTAGTCCTAACTCCTAATCCTAAGCCTTAACCGCGGCCGTAAACCCTAACCCTGAACCATCCAACGCGAAGGTTAGAAGGAGACAACAAGCCGAAAGTCAAGAAGGACCACCGGCATTGGGCCGAAAAATGTAGACACGCCAGCAAAGAAACAAGACCGCCAACAGAACACTCACAGCAGCACCATGCCAACGTACTCATACCAACTCAAAATATTTATGTTGGTCAACTGTACTGTGTCCATCAGGTGTGGCTCCATAACCGCATCTTATGGCAAGAGTACATCGCCCCGATATCGAGTAGATAGCGAACTTTCGATATAGGCATATCGAGGGGATTGCGTTTTTTTCCGGTGAATGTATATCGGGTAGATATTGATTTTTTTGATATACTCGAAAATCGGCGGTAGCCGGATGCTCAGCAATTTGCACGACCCATTTTTCCCACGGAAATAATAACGTTTCATACTAAATCCACCTATATTGTTTCTGTCGGCCCTTTCCGTCCTTTCGAACTCTCTACCGTAGTCTCCATTTGAACGAAAAACTATCAAAACGCAATGTACCCAAAACACTCTGAAGTCTTATGAAGCGGTAGATGTATATGTAACAAATAAAAAATTAAATATATGCACTACTCTTTAAAATGTTATAGGTCCATATCAGGGCAATCTATCGGAGAATTTGATGTGTACCTGTGGAAGGTCCAGGTATTAGATCTACACAAAAGAGTAGTGTGTTATTAGTAATTGAGGACCAATTACCGTCCGTGCTGTTATTCTTTGACGCATTTTTGATAGAACTTTTAAGTCGTTTGGTAATGGACAACAGTAGGTCGGCAAGGGTCGCCTTGCCGTCAGCATTCCAGATCCCAAACACCTCTGCGGTTAGAGCAGTAATGAACTTATTAAAAACGCACCCCTGATGACCTCGAGCGTTGCAGAATCTGAGAGGTCGTCTTTCATTTTCCGCCTTTTTAAGTTTATGTGGACACTGATGTCATCCACAAATAGGGCATAGAAAGTTCTTTTGGTGAATTCATCTAAAGAACGATTACCTAGGCAGGCTATGTAGGAAACCTGATAAACTTATTAATGAATTCGACCCACTCTTACCAATTGACTGCGGAATCGATTGTCCGCAAGTCTGGAGTTAAGTTTTCAGAATCTCGCAGCTGTTCTTGGAGGGCGGCCTACGGGGATTCATGGGAAGTCGAGTAGCCTCATGAAATATAATTAGAGGAGTCGCATGTTGTTTGTTCTCCCAGAGACCACGAAACTCTTTTAACTTGCATCTTTGTGGAGGGAGAAAAAGAAATCAGTGGTAGAGGGGCGCTCACCGATCGTTCTTACGGAACTCACTCGTTTCGTTGTGCCTTACGGGTTCTCTCTCGAGCCCAACTAGCAGCCGCACAGCAGCGCATAATATAGGCAGAATAGCATTACCGACAAAGGCAAGGGAGGCTGTAGGGGCCATTTCTGGCTTATCAACCGTCGTCAGCTAGCCATATCCAACCTCCCGAAGTGTGAGAGAAGGTCCTAAGGCACAACGGGACATGTGAGTCCCGTAAAAACGGTCGGTGAGCGTCCCCCTACCATTGTATATTCCCAATCGCAATCAACAGGACAACGAGCCCGTGGCTCAGTGGTTAGAGGCGTAGGACTTCTAACCAACAGGTCGCGGGATCGAGCCCCAGATGTTCCACACTTCGGGATTGGCTATGGCTGGCTGACAACGGCTAATAAGCCAGAAATTGCCATTCCAGTCTCCCTTGTCTTTGTCGGTAGTGCTATTCTGCCTAGCGAAATCAGTCTCTGGGGAAATAGTTTTCATCGGGCATTTCGTCATTTTGTTCACAGGCACAACTTAAGATGGAAGACTAAGAATTTGAGCGTTGTGTAGGACCTTCTTGCAGATGGCCCGTTGATCCTTTTCCTTTGCAGAATGATATTGGCTGGCCTCGTTGACCGAGAGTGGGTCTGTTCATCGCGTAGCTAGGTTGGCGTTCGTTCATAACCAATTTTCACCACGTCCAACTGCCCCTGCATTGTCACGGACGAATCAACGACCGTTTGGGGGGAGGGGGGCGGACGCAGATTCTTTCGTCCAAGCACCAAGTCCTGCTCCTGCTCCCGTGTCGATAGTCCTTTGAAGCTCCCACACATTGATTCTCCGGGAAATTACAACTAGGAATGCAATCGGGACCAATAGATACGTTTTTGAACGACATGCTAATCAGTTTTCGTGAGCAGTTTGCTGATCACTACCTTGGGATCATGCCAACCTCTCGTAGCGCAGGTGGCTGAAGCGTTGACCATACTAAAGCCTCCCTTTGCCGTCCTGAGTTCAAATCCCACCGAGGCGCCGAGTTTTTCACAGTTGGGTCAAAATATACTATGCTGAATCTGCTAAAACACATATTAAGTCTTTGATATTGTTAGGGGAGCCATAAACGCAACTGCCTCCAGCTTAAGTCAGCAGTTGAATCCAGCCTATCAATCTTAGACGAAGAAAAGGTTTGGGTGGAGTTGGTGGTACCCTGAAGGAAGCTCCACTTATTATTTAACCTTACAGATATAGGATTGTCAGCTTGAGCAAACTAGGCTCATACTACAATATACTCAGCCGCATATTTCTCACATCACATCAAAAGCGAATTGTCTAAAATGGTGTAAGAAGTGGCCACAACGTCTACAAAGGTCGGGCTTTTCATGGAAAGATAAGCAGACTAGCAGGACTTTAAACAAATACTTTTCGTATAAATATTTTCACGCATTCTATTTCTTCCTGTACAACCATGTCTTTAAAGATATGCCCTCTCCGGAGCCACGCCATCGGAAATCTTCCCCTGAAGTGCGCGATTTCATGGTGCAAGTTTGTTGTAACAACAATATTGTCGATACGTCCCCAACTACCTGTGGCCCGACTGTAAATTCGTGCGACCCGACCGCACTTCACCAGCAAGGTCAATGTTTCTGGTGAGTTGTTACTTTTAAGTTTGACCCACGAACCCCGCCCTATTTCTACTGATGTTACTATTTATTTAGAGTTGCGAAAATTCTCATTGTAAAATTTAAAAGGCAATTTGGCGAGCATACGTCTGCTTTCGATAAATTCTCTTCAGGCCCGTACATTTATACGGCTCTTTCGTTTTGGTTAGATGTCTCATTCCTTTTTACGAACGTACCGGTAACGGAAACGGTCAACTACCTCTGTGATTTCATTGCCGACAATCAACAAGATATAGGAATGCCAGTGAATGCCCTCAAGGAATTGTTATTGAGGTGTACCTTGAACTTGCAGTTCCTATTCGGCAACAATCTATATAGGCAGATGAACGGCGTAGCTATGGGCTCGCCCCTTGGCCCGCTTTTGGCGAATATATTCATGGGAAAGTTTGAAGCTTTCCAGCTACGTCACCAGATCAACGGTTTAAGATACTATGGGCGGTACGTGGATGATATATTCGCAATTGCACCGAAACAAAGCGACATCTCAATTCTACTGGATGACGTAAATCAGGCGCACTCATCAATAAGATTCACTCTGGAAGAAGAACAGTCCGGTTCACTTCCCTTTCTGGATGTGCTTCTGAGTAGAAGGCCTGGCGGCAGCATTGGACGTAGTGTCTATCGTAAGAAAACGTGGTCCGGACAATACACCCATTTTGGGAGTTTCGTGCCGCTAAACGTTAAACGTAATTTAGTCCGCTGTTTAACAGAAAGAGTAAGAAGAATCTGCTCAGCTGACAGCGTTGAGAAATAGCTTAAGATCATCGAAGGCCTTTTTCGCCGGAAAGGGTATCCTGATGGATCCATTGCTAAGAACATGGCCGAAAGACCACAAAGGCCCCCAATACTGACGGTAGGAAAGAAAGGCTCTTCATCAAGGTCCCCTTTCAAGAGGATGCACCAAGTGAACTTTTAAGAAGACGTCTAACTCAAGCTGTATCACAGACCTTTCCAACAGCTGACACCCGTGTGCTGTTCTCCACCAGTCCCATCCTATACGGAGAGGGCAAGGACAAACTACCAGCTCAAACCACCTCTATGTGTATTTGCTATTTATTTGCTAAACATGCTGCTTTATGGTAGAGGGGCGCTCACCAATCGTTTCTGCGGAACTCACTCGTCCCGTTGTGCCTTACGGGCTCTCTCTCGAGCCCAACCAGCAGTCGCACAGTGGCTCATGATATAGGCAGAATGGTATTACCGACAAAGACAAGGGAGACTGGGATGGCCACTTCTGGTTCATTAGTCGTCGTCAGCCAGTCATACCCAACCCCGAAGTGTGGAAAACCAGGGGCTGCTTTATCTCTCCCTCCTCCTTTCTACGCTCCTCATCTTCTTCCCCTTCCATTTTCACTCTTCTTCTTAGTCTCCTTATTCTTTTTCTTCTTCTTCTTCTTCTTCTTCTCCTCCTCCTCCTCCCCCTCCTCCTCCCTCTTCTTCCTCGTCCGCTCCCTCCTCTTCCTCTTCCTTTTAATTTCTCCCCTCCCCCTCGTGCCACTACCACCATATACACTGTCACACAGTTGAATAAATCAAGTTAAGCAGACGTAGGCATCCACTTAGTAATCTTCGAGCTAACCCATCGATCATACAGTGTTCTGGGACTATTAACGCTATTTTGTGCCGCCACAAGTCCCTACACGTACCAAAAACAGGAACTCGTGGACCTCCCTGAAGTAAAAGGAACTCCATCAACACGTTCTTTTCTTAACTAGGTGTCGTTACTTAGAGAGGGAGGGAGGGAGGGAGGGCGAGGAAGGGAAATCTTAGCACTATTTTGGTTGTAACTTTGTCGTACACACTAAATCAGACAGCCGAATCCTATCTTCCGACCTGAGACCGTATCGTCCTCTTCCACTGATTATTTTCTCCGAGGATTACTTACCATCTGTACCTTCCAAGTTGCTGAACAGCAATTCGCTGACTTGGGAACTTTTTACCGTCGGGCTCGTAATGGCGAGAATATTGAGGACTTCTTAGTCCACTCACACGCTGGAGAAAGGCCATGAGTTCGATTTCGCCAACACACGGATATTGGCGCGAGCCGGCAACAAGACGGGGCGAGAACTGTTGGAGGCGTGGGTGTCGGACACCAACTCTATCAATAGACCCATTGATTTACCTGCGTGTTATCACGCGCTCCGCCCACGCAGCCAGGTGGCGCAGCTCACATCGTCGCGAAGTGCAAACGGCGTCACAACGCCGGGGGACCATTGTGGACCAGGCAGCACAAACCAGACCTAACCACGGACGTAATCCCCCCCCCCTCCTGGTACAACGGTATAAAGGTCAACACGTCACTGCACTCTGTCTCTGACGATGAACTCCTGTCCGGGTTCGAAAGCTAAGGCCAATAAATCTACTGTCCCAGTGATCGTGCCTTCGTCTTCTTTTAAACAAGTACCTGGGATGTGCATATTCTCTTCCATTCGTGACTTCTTAGTTCGTCTGCAGCGGTGGCGAACACACCTCCGTTAAATGTTGAATCACGTCCCACTTCTAACTTCCAATCGGAAACTGTGAAGTCCTGGATCCCTGACCACCCACGGAGGAAAAGGGGTCTAAAGTTAGGATAGACTGTTGTGACTCGGACGGTTGGCGTGTATAAATTATCTCAATTAACCCCACAATTACGGGGCTGAGTCGCGCTCAGTAGTAGAAGATGCTAAACACCAGTCTTGTCATGCGTTATATGAGTTTTGCTCTGCCATGGCGTGGATGCTAGCGCCAGGCCAGAGGCTGAGACAGAATTCTGGCTTACCGGCAAACGTGCCATGCTCTTCGGGTTCAACCCGAGTTCTCAGCTCAGCGGACTTCATCGCATCCCCCGCTAGTTTTGGAAGTTCTCTACAGATTTCGCATGTTCGCGTGATCCTGCTATTTTCTGTTTCGACAGACAGGGAGATAAGACAGTATATGACAACCACCGAGGGATTGGATCCCCTTGGAATCGCAATACAGACTTTCTTTACCGTCCTTCTGCACCCCCAGCCATACGGGCGTCGTTTTAACTTCACGCTATGGTGGCTTTTGTCGATTTGCTGTCAGCAACAGACCTCGTGTACTGGCGCCCCTTCTATCAGGTAGTGCTCGAGTGTGGCCTTCCACCCAAGTCTCCGTACTCCGTGCGGGCTTTCTGTCGCATGACTCGGTTTTAAGTACCTTCGTATTAACGGTGGCTTTGTGCATAGTCCAGGAAGGGATGGGGTTGGGATTACCTCCAGGGTTATGACTAGGATGGTAGAGATTGGGACTGTTAGTATTACAGTACGTTTGAGGTTAGGGTTATAGTTCGGACTCAGGAATGCGATATTCCCCTGGAGGTTGGCGTAAGACCACTTGTAGTACGGTAGTACCTATATCCGTGTCCAGATTCTTCTACGATAAGGCACGGGTCAACGATAGGGCCCACAAATAGATGGCAACTACAAAATATACCCTAAAATTCAGTGTGACTGTAAAGATCACCTATAGTATGAGGGCTAACTCGTGAAATGTCAGCTGAGATTCAGGAATGCGTTTTCGTTTCGAAAAGATTATTTAGGTAGGATTGTAAAGTTAATTATCCTGCAGCATAATTCTACAATATTTCCGTTACATCAGAATGCTGGCCTTCGAAGGAATTTGTTTTTGGCTGCATGCAAAAACTATGCCTTGTAAAGAATAACTTCTTAAGTGGCATGAATTTATCTCATTGATTTTCGATGCCCTTGGAAAATTAATTACATTGCATGGAAAACATGCATAAAAATATTTACTATTTTGCTCATTCGGTAGACAATTACGTCTTCTTTCAGTTTTATACTCGACGGAAGAGTCTTAATCGGTTTTCAAATAGTTTATAATTGGGAGATTTTTTAATACCGTGAAATGGCCGTTCATAAAACGTCATGTCTCTGCATTTACCAATGTTGCTTATAAAGTTAGCAATATGGCTCAAATCAACTGCTAGATTTTATGAACCCTATGTAGTCTCCTCACAATACGTTCGAGAAATGTATGGTTTTCCGTACGCGGAAAATATACGACTAGTATTTTGGAAGCCCTGAATGCAAGTGTAACGGCAGGTCGGCCTCAAAATTATTCGGGAATTGGAAAAGTTTTTTAAAACCGAGTTATTCCCTTCCTTCGAGTATAAAACTGAAAGAAGACGTACTTGTCTACCGAATGAGCCAAAGAGTAAATATTTTATGCATGTTTTCCATGAAATGTAATTAATTTTCCAAGGGCATCGAAAATCAATGAGCAAAATTCATGCCACTTAAGTAGTTATTTTTTACAAAGCATAGTTTTTGCATGCAGCCAAAAACAAATTTCTTCGAAAGCCAGCATCCTGACGTAACTGAATTAGTATAGAATTATTCTGCAGGATGATTAATTTTACAACCCTGCCTAAATAATCTTTTCGAAACGAAAACGCATTTATGGATCTCAGTTGACATTTCCTGAGTTAGCCCACCTACTGTATTATTCCATTCCCATTGTGTGAATTTTACTTCCCTTCCTGACTTAATGTAGACTTACCAGCGACGCTTAATTCAAGGTCCGTTATTTTTTGAAAATTGCCTTTTGTTTATTTTTTAATTATCGCATTCACTGCCATTGCCAAATGACAGCGTGCGATGAGACTTTCGGTGGACATTTATCTACTTTCTGTGTCTTCTCTCTCTCAGTCCTGCGTGTTGCCGCACCCGTAAAACCCTATCTTCCACCATTCAACCTATGACACGGTCCACAGACTAGCTCAAGTTAGTTGTGGATCCTAGACCCTATCGTTTCCTGGCACGGTACAAGAAATCTGTGACCCAGATCTTGTTTCATCGAGTTCTCAGATAATAGGATGACTGCTAGCTTGGTTGTGGAAAAAGAACATCCGACGGCAGGTTTTAGACTACACCGGAGGAGCGCAGATGCCCACTAAGATTCACTGAATTCGCGACGCTAACAGGTTGTCAAGAGCTGCCTGACTATAATGGTCCTGAAACCCTGTTGAGTCTGTGCAGGTTAGACCTGAATCCAATCTCCCCAGGATGAAGCTCGTGACGGCTTGAGTGCTACCTGATAGGCAGAACCAGATTTTGGCCCTCAGATTTCCGTTAGTGGTGGACCATATAAGTTAACTAGTTTTCGCCTTTCTTCCAAGTTTCCAGAACAAATAAATCAATACTTTACGGATTCGAGTTTTTCTACACTGTCTCCATTCTTTCGACGGGCCGCCTCCGATGCAAATGAGATGCTCGAAAGTAGAAATAGACCGCGGTTTTGGAAACCGGTGTTAAGTGTATTCGTGATTGCCGTCGCGAAAGATTATAAAGAATTTTTAACTTTTTTCTTTGGAATTCCCTTCCTGCGAGGCTTGGACACGATATAACTATGGAGGCCGTTTTGGAGGGATTTTCGAGGTGCCACTTATAGCTGCGCAGAGCGCTAGAAGGTTGGTCCGGGTGCGGGCATTGAGTGCCAGCGAGCCCATTAGCGCAAGGCGAGGCAGCCATAGTACTGGTGATTGCGCGTCAACAAACCACCGCCCTCGAACGGCGAGCGGCCCCTGCCAATCAGGGCGTTCCTCTAGGGTACGGAAGTTCTGGATGCTGGCCAATCAGAATTCAGAACTTGGAATAGCCGAACTTCACGACCGTTAACCTGTTGTAGCTGCCCCAGGCGCTCTGTCTTCCGTGGCCGACGCCGACCCCAACGTCGCCCCAACCTCCTGATACCAGGGTGTGTGCACAAGGTACCCGACGTACTCACAGCCTATGGCCCCCCTCTCCCTCGCCCCCTAAACCCAATGACCACGACACGCCGACCACGCCATAGCACGCCTCGTCATGCGAGTGGCGTGGGAACGATGGATGTTAATTGTCCCCGAATCATTTATAAGTCATGTAATTCGCATAACTTAAACTTCTTTGTAGCCGTTTTAGCCTGATGAAGAGTTACTGAAAACACGTGTTCGCCAATTTGACTTTTCAATTGTAACATGGGAATATTCGCTGAACTATTTCTTTTTAGTTGAAAAAAACTAGGCATTTCTGTTTGGATTTCGCTAAGTTCGGCAAATCCCCGGTCTTGCGGATTCTTACAAACTGGGTGGCTACCACGTTCGTCTACCGATAACGAATTCGCAAGCTTGGTAGGGTTTATTGTTCTACAATGAAACCTTGTAATATTGTGCTACTTGCGATTGCCTACTTAAGAACTACTGGACAGTAGTTGCGAGTTTCCCTGAACTTTTCGTGCACATGCTATCCAAGCGACTGCGGCGGAGAAGGTATGGACGCATGCTTTCAGTCGTCATTTTGGACCTGGAAGTTGAGGGCGGACAGCCTTAGGCAACAACCCCTTCTCACCGTCGCACAACATAGTTGGTGGTGTTTGTTGCCTTTTTACATTGCGTGTTTATTTTTCCGCTTTTCTACCTCCTTTTCTGTCGCCTTAGCGCCCTTGGAGGCAATCAGGCTACTGGCGCCCAGAGACTTCAGAGCGACGCGCGACCTCCGGTCTGTGTCGGAGATGAGACCCTCAAGACAGCGATAACACCGACCTGTGATCTGAGCCAGCAGCTAGCCGACGCAAAAGTCGAAATTTCGCAGCTAAATTCCCTCATCGAGAACATGAAGATGAGCCTCCTGGAGAAGGAGAAAGTGGTGGTGTAAGTCTGCCCCTCATTGGGCAATCTTGTTATTCAATATGAACCAATCAGAAAGAGAGAGGCTCCCATTGGCAAGTTTAGTACCCAATATGGACCTATCAGAAAATGGGAGCAGTTCGCTAGCAGAAGCGCACCAGTCTTCTGACCCCATCCTCAGAGGCTGGAGAGTCCCATGCATACGCGAGTTGAGCACATTGTGTCCGACCCGCGGATCACTAAAGCCAACTGTGGGTACGACGTGAACCCATGGTTTGTGTCATCCACGTTGTTGGTGGTAATTGGCGACCGCAAAGTTCTAGCATACTGGCCATCCTTTGTTGAGCAGTTTCCCAAGGTCAGGTAGAGCTTACGCAGGTCGATGAGAAGACTACTTCAGCAATCGGCTGACAGCCAGACTTCTCGACAGTTCTACAATCTCAAGCCGAGGCATCCTGTAGAGCGCGCGGGCAACACCGATGAGGCAGACTTGTGCAGCACTGACCTCGCTCTCCTCTTCCTTACCCGTCTGAATTTAGTAACAAAACCACTGGAGGTGGGTTCCGACGCAGTGGCCGACAAAGATAGACCGCCCATCTACGCGTGCCACTCACAACCCAATCTCCACGGCGTGCTGTGGGCTTTCATTAGGGCGACTCAGGTCTCACATGAAACAGTGTCATAAAAGCCATCTTAGGAATGAGCATTCGCAGCCTGACTCCATCTTGAGGAGCATCGAGTTATATCGTCAGTTGGAAAGCTCTCAAGCAACGACTCTTGGGTCACCCGATTTATTCTAGCGGGGAATGCGCTGATTGGCTTTCGACCTCGCTAACTCTCTTTCTCTCCCCAAATCTACCTGGGATTTTTTGCACTTGACTCGAACCACTAGAGGGCTTTCCATTTTTAGAAATTGGATAGTCTAATTGTCTATTACAAACGTCAAAACTAAAGTAGGCAAGAAGGGCAGGATTTATTGGTACCGAAAAATTTCGCGACGGCTCTTCAGCTGCGTTCTGTCGCTCTCATTTTTGCTCTTTAACGTTCCCCTTTTTTTCACTTTCTTCCCCTACGATGCTTGTGTTACTAACTTTATCGAGTAGCCAGCTTTGCCCAAAACCCTGACCTTACTGTTTCTGCATTGATTTTCTGCACGAATTCAAATCTGATGTATTCTTCTCACTCGTTATCTCTCTTATAAAGCGACAGGACGCAGCTGAAGAGCCGTCGCGAAATTTTTTGGTACCAATAAATTCTGCCCTTCTTGCCTACTTCAGCTTCGTACCGGGGACAAAATGCTTCAAACGTCAAAACCCAAACGCACCTCTGTAATTGACCACCCCTGATTACTATCTTGACAGGAAATCACGTTGCCGCCACTATCAGTTAGGCAGGGTTGCTTGAATCCTTTGTCGGGTCTCCCTACTAGCTGGACTTCAGTAGGCTAACATCATATCTTCTTACACACTTAAGAAAAGCCACGTCTGCGGCCCAGGAGGCGCGTGATTCTCTGCAGGAGGAACGTGACAAGGTGGCAAACCTGCAAGCTGAATTGAGTCGGAGCAGAGAGGCTCAGCTTCGACATACGCGACAGCAGCAGCAGCAACCGTCGGACGCCGGGGTCAGTCCCCTGGCTCTGGAAATGGCCACCATTGGTGCGACCTGTAGATCCGAGCGACACGAGAAGATCATTGCCCAACAGAGGATAGCTCTTTCGGAACTGAGACAGCGTCTACAGAGGACTCTGGGAAGGGGAGAACTGAAAAGCGGTTAGTCGGCCTTGATTTTTTTTCCGTGGCAACTTCACCACGCCTTATCGAACTTCAAAAGACTAGTTGGCGAGCATACATCTGCCTTCGGTGAATTCTTGTCAGGTCAGTACACTTATATTGGAACAGGGCCGAGTAAAACATGTCAGTGATTAGAGAAATCGATTAAATCGATCATTGCTCCCCTATATTCCCACATTCCATTTGCGTTTTAAGGCTAACTTTGATCGATTTCTCTAATCACTGACAAGTTTTACTCGCCCACTTTCGCACATAAATGCACCGGTCCGACGAGAATTTACCGAAAGCAAACGTACACTTGCCAATTGGTTTTCCTAATACCGTCCTGATAATTTTCGAAACTCTTGTCGAACTTACAAAATAGATTGAACAGTGCATTAGCTACTCATATTTCGGGATTTTTCCGCTGGAGAAAGTGGTAGGATCAGGGAAAAATGGCCTGTTTTAAATCGCATGCGGCAGCCGACTAATTCTGCGCCACCAAAACTATCACACCCCAACTGTTGTGGAAGGTTTTTTCACCGGCCAGGTAACGGAGCCTGCTCCTCCCGGTACGTCTTGAAACTCATTCTAGAGACCTCGCCATTACCGGCTGGCTAGCTGTCCTGAGGATTTTTGGTGCAAGCGAAGACAAGAGTTCCAGATAACAGCACAGATGGTGACGTCTGACGTTTCGGATTCACAATCGAATCCATTATCAAAGGTAGCATCAGTGGACTAACAAGCACGATGGTTTCCCCCTACACTCTTTCTAGTGCCAATTTCGGTGAACCAACTGGCCATGTAATTATCACGTTAATAACCAATAAAAGTTGCTAAATTGCGTCAATTAACGACTCAGTTGCAGACAGCAGCAATTATTGTGCCAAGTACATCCGTTTGTGATGAATACGGTAGTCACCAATTTCGATAGGTATGCAATTAAATTACCCTTATTTGATGCGGGTATGGATCTAAAAGGGGAGGCAAATAAAACTCCTTCGAGCGATCGCGTCTCCTCCTCGCCCTGAGGATGTCACTTCTCGCTACGAGTGACCGATCGACCGTTGATTCCGACGAAATCCTCCACAACTGGGTGGGGACAGAGACGGTTACTTGCGCGTTATAAGGACAGTAGACTTGCGCACCATCTACCGCGCTCCCTCACCCTCCCCCACCCGATCCAATGTCATAACAAAGTCAAGAAGACCGAAGACGGCAGATGCCTCAGGTGGTTGACACGGCGAAAACCCGCAGCTAAGCTTACCATCTCAGCTCCCGGTCCACAACGGACCCTGACCAGGATTTTATACCACAACAAAAATAGGACGACGACACAGACTCCAATGGACGCGGTCAGAGCCTGAGACCAGGCGTGCCATCACGCTCCCCCCCCCAATTTTGGTATTTGTTCGGGGCGCGCATTCTCGATGACGCTTACAGAATCCGATCTAGCCCCTGTGTTGATCTAGCGCATCTTCCGCGTGGCCCGTTCGAGAAGCAATCTCCACCAGTACATCTTATTTCAACCCCCTGTCGGGATCCTATTAGAGTAAAATCGACGGTAGGTATGACCACAGCCGACACGCCTTCGCTGCCGAAAAGAAAACTCTGTTCCCTAAAGTCCCTTTTCAAGGGGACGCTTCGAGTGAACTCCTAAAGAGACGCCTTGATCAAGCTGTTTCGCGAACCTTCCCAGCGGCAAGGGTTCAAGTATCCTTCTCTACTAACCTTATTTTACGCGGAGAAGGTAAGGATAAGTTGCCACCTCAGACCACTTCAATGCGCATCTATTCTTTTACTTGCTCCTGTGGAGCAGGTTATATTGGTCGCACGAGTCGGCGCTTATCCAAGAGAATACGGGAACACCTCCCGGCATGGCTGGGAAAAGCCGAAACTATGAGCATAAGCAGCGTCATTCTCGTGCATGTTGTCGATTCCGGACATCATGTAGACCCCAATGGAGCGTTTCGTGTGATCTATAAGGTCCCATCGACCTACCCTAGACCACTGGGACAGCGCTTGTTAGCAGCAGCAGGGGCGGCCGCCATCAGGTTGTGAAAACCAACGTTGTGCGCACAGAAGAACCACGTTCAGGCTCCGCGCCTGCAGTGATCGAAGGTCGACTAACGCTGCAACTCTCCGCGCCCCTCCGCTCTCACCCCGGCCCTGACACTGACTGTTCTTACCCCCCCCCCTCCCCCGCATTCCCACACCCAGCCTGTGTTTTAAAGCGAACTTTAATCGATTTATCTTATCACTGACGTGTTTTTACTTCTACTCCGTTCCCATGTAATTGTACTGCCTCGACGAAAATTTATCGAAAACCACGTATGCTCGCCATCTCGGCTTCTGATTTCTTTTAATTATTTTTCCCTGAATTCAGAGAAGGCTGAGGCGGACGCCGCGAACGAGGCCTACCGTAAAGAACTGCTCTGTCTCCGTCGCCAGGTCAACGAACTGCGCGCCCAGCTACGAATGAGCCAGGTTCTGCCAGCCGGACTGTTAACCAATGAGACCGCCGATGCTCTCAGCGTCCCCGAACAGCCGCATCCACCGCCGCGAAAGAACCTCACCTTTGCACGTGATGTGATACTGCGACCGCCGTCTCAGAATCCCTCCCTTCGCGATGCCATCGAGTCCCTCATTGTGAGTTTAGCTTGATTTCCGTGTGACAATCAAAGAAAATGGGCATGGGAGTGCGGCGGAATCGGCACTGTGGTATCCGGTGCTGTCAGCTAGAACTTTCTTTTCGAATGTGCTATAAAAACCAGATTTCTTGCAAACGGAAGAAAATATGCGCATCCCAGGTTCTTGTATAAAAGAAGACGAAAGCACGATCACTGGGACGGTAGATTTATTGGCCTTAGCTTTCGAACTCGAACTGGAGTTCACCATCAGGGACTGTTAGAGTGCAGCGACGTGTGAATCTTTATACCGTTGTACCATGAGGGGGGGGGGGATTACGTCCGTGGTTAGGTCTGGTTTCTGCTGCCTGGTCCACAATGGTCCCCAGGCGTGGTGACGGCGGTTGTACCTCGCGGCGATGTGAGCTGCGCCACCTGGCTGCGTGGGCGGAGCGCGTGATAACACGCAGGTAAATCGATGGATCAATCTATTGATAGAGTTGGTGTCCGACGCCAACGCCTCCAACAGTTCTCGCCCCGTCTTGTTGCCGCCTCTGGCCTAGCCACGGACATAATCTCCTCCCTCATGGCACACCGGCATTAATGTTCACGCGTTGCTGCGTTCTACCAGTCTCTGATTATGATGAACTCATGTTCGAGTTAGAAAGCTAAGACCAATAAATCTACCGTCCCAGTGATCGTGCCTTCGTCTTCTTTTAAACAGATTTCTTGTGCTTGGTTTGTGCTTAGACAGTGTAGTCCGACTTCTAAGCAAATCAGCATCGTCATTGTACAGTAGGCGACTTATCCCATGAAACATCAACCAAAATGCGGAAATATGATATCGAGTGGAGAGGCAGGTCAGAATGTCGTCTTCGAATGCGCGTCTTCTTCCTATAATGTTTCACTGGATGAGAGTGTTTCTTACAGTTGTGAGAAAAATTACTTCAGTTCTCGAATAATTTGAACCCAACCTGCCGTTGTACTTGCGTTTAGGGTTTTAAACCCCCAACCTGTACATCCTTCATTTACGAAACATAGATTACTCTGTATTATTAAGAAGGTGCATTTAGCACTCGTAAAATTTCACAATAGCTGCCTTGTGCTTAATAGTAAGCGGAGATATGCAACGTTATTCGAACAGAAATCTCATAGTTTTAAAGGTCTCACAATCGAAAAATCCCTTTAATCCGAAAAATATTACCGAGTGGGGGATTCAAAACGCATAATTTACTGTGATGTGAGTGCAGAAAAGCATTTTTTGTGCATGCTTTCTACAAAATAGGCCCAGACTTATCAGGCCATCAAAAATCAATGGTAAAGATTCTTACTAACAAGTCACTCATTTTTTGCGAGTGTGGTTTCATCAGACGGTCAGCCTGAAACCCATTCAAAAGCGGTATCATGACCTGACTTAAATGTCTTTGGAGTATGTTGCATGCTAATCGATATCCTAACCTCACCTACAGCAGATGTTGATCGATGTTCTAAAATGCGTTTTCGACTCAAAAAGGTAACCTCAAAAAGATCACCATGCAGCATAACCCCATAATAATTCAGTTACCTCAGGGTGCCGACTTTTGAATGAACTTCTTCCCGGTCGCCTGCAAAAACTACACTCTGTGCGAATTTTTCTTATCGATTTTCGATACCTTTATAAATTCGGACATATCTCATTTAAAACATGCATAAAATATTCATTCTTTTAATCCTTTGGTATGAGACTACGTCTTATTCAAATTTTATGTTTGAAGGAAGGGTATCATTCTGTTACAAAAAACTTTTCCGCTTTCTGGATAATTTTGAACACGATTTGTCGTTGCACTTACATTTAGGTTTTTCAATCTACAAGCTGTATATTTTCCGTATACGGAAAAGTATGCATTTCTTTACTCTATTAAGAGGAGGCCATGTGGGGTTCATGCATTTTAGCAGTGGATTTGAGCCATGTTGTAAACTTTACAAGCAACAATAGCAACTGCAGACAGAAGATGTTTTATGAACGGACATTTCGCAGTCTTATAAAATCATAATTTAAAACTTTTTGAAACCGAATTATACTCCTTCTTCAAGCACAAAATTTGAAGAAGATGTAGTTTCCCATCAAATGAGTAAAAATAATGAATATTTTTACGAATGTTTTACATGAAATATATTTGCATTTATAAGGTTATCGAAAATCAATGAGAAAAATTCATATTACTTCAGTAGCAGGGTAATTTTGCAGGCGGCCGGAAAGAAGTTCCTTCAAAGGCCGGCACCCTGACGTAACTGAATTATCATGGAATTATTCTGCATGGCGATTAATATCATAATCCTACTTAAGTAATCTTTTTGAGTCGAAAGCGCATTTCAGAATTTCTATCAAAGTTAGAATGTTTGTGACAGTAGGCACTTCGCGCACCTGCGAAGTGAACTTCACTCACCCCGCAGATGCTTCACAGGTGGGGTCCAGGCCGTGAACTGGCAGTAGTATCTGGCCAAAGTTCCAGTGTTACCTCCATGTCAGTCGGTTCTGATCGAGATCTGGGGGAGGGAGGGGGGCGTCAGTTTGATCCTTGCAGACCACCACCGTCTGGTCAGGCGTTTGACGTCTAGAGTGCTAATTTCACCCTCCACACCCATCGCATACCAGCGACAGAGGCCGGCTGAAGGCGCGCTTGAGCGCAGTGGCTAACCTAGCAAGTACCCGCGTCACTTTTGTAGCGGCACAGCAGTGAGAATAAGTGCTCTGAGCGCCACAACCACTATGTTGGAAGGAGAAAACGGAAGGCACCAGAATGAGGGATTTATTGTGCACAGAACCCGGAGTTGTCGTCTCAGGCGGCAGTGGCCACTGGCGAAGCCAGGGCTGGTGTTGACTGCGTCCAGTCATGCCCGAGAGTCCTTGAGATGGTGGTGGCAGCCGCTTTTGTAGGCTCAAATGGTGTCCAATCAGTGTGTGTTGCATTTGCCGAGGGGTGGTGTCCCAGTGGCTTAGGTTGTGGTTGCAGGGGGAGGTGCGCTCAAATGGCCGCATGGGCAGCTGCGATTGTGCGGACGCAGGTATGCCCGAGTTATCGGTCGTGTGACTTCAGGTCAGTGCCTCTGGAACGGCTCACTGCAAAGGGGTGAATGACCTTGAGACAGCGAGGTCTTGAACAATGACGCCATACCGGTCATTATGGCTGCCCTCATCATTCACGCACCCGTCTGTTCGCTCTGATTTTATTGCCCTGCGAGTTGTCATCTCAAGGTTGACCCGTCGCAATACGGCCATGACTTCCAGTGATATCCACTCAGGGATGGGCGTAGGCCGCTCTGTTTTGCAGCTCTCCAGAGCAAACCATCTTTGATCACAATCGGGTGACAGCCTACCGGGCCGCAAAATAACTAGACAAGTAGGCACTGAGGCGGTTTGACAAAGACAGGAGGACCAAAATGACAGATGCTTCGGGCCTATGTATGCCTTCTCTGCGAGCCATGCTCCAGGAATGGGGCGACGCAGCGCAGAAGAGCCTTATCATCGGGGCAGGGAATCATCGGGGTTTGCATTTCTTCACATATAGTCATTTGTCCCCCTCAGTTAGCAGTGGAGTTTGACATTCTCCAGGCATACCAACCGCCTTGGAACCTTTCAGCTATGTCCCGAGGAGTGACTGATAGCGAAGGATGGCGAGTTCGGGGAACCTCTCGCCAATATAAATAAAACGATGTCGGACGCGCTGGAAACTCGCTGTATTAATTCGACTCCTAACTGTCCTAGAACACTCTGACGTTGCGGTGGTGGTGGTGGTGGTGGGGGTGGTGGTGGTGTCCTTTCGAGGAAAAACCTTGATTGTCCTGCTGGCCATTGACGGAGCCACACGCGCAGACAAAGGCATCACTCTAGTTCGATGATACATCGCACACGCCGATTGGCTAACCGGTTCCACGCGCGCATTTCGCGGCTGGCTCAATCTGCTGTGCCGCACGCGGTTGCGTTTTCATCTGGCCTTACGTCGTGATCGCAGCCTGTTTCCGTCCTCCTCGGTATTCACCCTCTTTTCTCTCTTTCTCTCCCAAGGTATCCGAGGAGAGTTACTCAGAGCTGGCGCTCATGTTGGAGCGAATGTTGGCTTTGGAAAACTCGCCGTCTCGTCGACTCTCTGCCGGCCTGTTGCCCGCAGAGAGACAGGCCCTACGAGAGAACCGCAGGGAGTTTACGGCTGCGGCAGCTGAGAAGTTTGCCCTCCTCAAGGAGGAACTGAGGCGTAACGCTGAACTCATTCGAACCTACGAGGCTGAATTAATAAAATTAAGGTGAGTAGTCAGAGGGTCCATTTGCGGCTTCCCAGGGTGGCCAATTAGTCGATTTTCACTGCACTGAACAACATTCTTCTGCACCCTTTCAGTGTAATCTGCTGTTTTTAGGTGATGCGACTCGTGAAGTATGCCTAAGTTGACGAAAGTCGCTAATAATTCGGGAACCGACCAAAGTTTATTGATCAGTACCTCGGGTTAAGAATAGGTGACCTTCAGCAAAACCAAAAATGAAGTAACAGTGAAGGCAATATGTCGTTCTCTAAAAATAGGAATTTTCTTTAAAGGAAGCGGAAGTGCCGAAAACACGACAATTTATGTCAAATTAAGTATTCAAATGAACCCGAATTTTCGAGTTCCAGGTGTTTGCATGAAGAAACAGAAAGACTGGTCGAACACCGAAATAATTTGTTTATTGCTCTGAGCTTCCAAACTTGCGCAGGAGTTCCTTATCAGTGGTGGCAACCCCAACAGAACAAGCCAGCAAACGATCATTTAGGCAAGTTTGGAGGTGGCCGCGCAGGGCTCGGTATGCTGGAGCCGGGTCCACGAATCGATTAACTGCACTTGCTCGGGTTGGATGGATTAAGCATGTTTAACCAGGGAAAACGATCGGATCTTATTTCGTAACCGTGCCTGTAGTAGACAAGTCCCACCCGCCTGTCATACGGGACCAGTGGTAATAGGGGGTTTTACCCTGCCCTGCCTTCCCTATCTCGAACCACTAATCCTTAACCCCCCACCCTAACTCCTAAGAGGTACGGCTTCGAAATATGATCTTGCCGGGAGAGCTGGGAAGGAGGGAGAGAGAATGAGACAGAAGAGACGATTAAAACGATGGAACATATCACGACTCAGTTCGCTGTGGGCTTCTGCTCCGTAACAGTAGTTCCAATAGCCTATCTGGTAAAATAAACGCTTAACGGACTGCTACTTATCCACAGTGTTCGTATAGCTCCTTCTTACTATCGTATCCGCAGATCCTCAGTCACCTGAGTCGTCATCTGGCAAACCGGTCGGTAGGACGCGAAATTAGAGGTCTCTGTGTTGCAGGTTACCCCGCGCAAAACTTCATGGGAGTAGATTTAATGGTGAGATTATTATTAGGGTTAAGATCAGGAAGGCCAGAGTAAGGACTGGAGTTCGGATATGAGAATAACCATCTCCTGAAATCTAGCACAAGTCCATCTGTAGTGGGCGAACCCATATTACTCTGTCCGACCGACCAGTTCATCAGCAACCGTTGTGATATGGACACCTACCCCAATGCGCCTGGTGCCGCTCTTGATTTCGTCGTCTTCAACATCCATCGCCAGTCACCATGACGAAATTCCGACAGCTGGCAAGTCAGGGAGGAGGCAAGTACAGCGCTTGATAAATGCTGGACCGAACAAGTAGGGCTCTAGTCAGTCTCCACTCCCTCCCCCCTCCAAAATCTGGATGCGGACTTCAGCTTGACAGTCGGCGTCTTGCCCTGCCGTTATCGTCGGGTGTTGGGCCGTCCGCGTCTCTTAGTCGCCTTCTTGATCTTCTTCCCAAAGAGACCTTTTGCTTAGGCCAATCCTGTATTCTCTGTGCTATTTATCTGCCAATGCTTCAACTGAACCGCACTTTGCGGGTCTTATGCCCTTCACTCAACTCTGATCGGTGATAAAAACTAAAAAACACTTAATATCCCTGCAACGATTTTTATGACAGCCCAATCACAGTGAAGTAGGCGGATTCTGACTGTGGCGGTCAAGGATGTGAAATCAACTTAAACCACGCACAATAAGTTCGTTTCGTCTAATGTCAGAAGTCAGGGAGCTGTGAGGACTAGTTTATCCTGTACACAGGGCAGGTTGCCGTAAGTTGGCGGTTTGCTTGCAACAGAAAAAAGCGTCCGTTCACGGAGAATATCAGACGCGGTATGTTGTTTACGCGGGAGTGAGTTTCTGGGTCAGGAGGAAGGGGTGACTGGCTGGGTGTTGGTCGTGTGATTGGACAAATTAGGGGAAGAATAGGGGGGCGCATACTCACAAGGCCTCGCGGGTATCAAGCCAGAGCGTTCGACGCGCGTGAGGTGATGAAAGTTTTTTGAGGTCAATCGAGAGTCACTGAAGTTGGACCGGAGGTGTCCCAGTTCTAGCCGGCGGGGGTGGCCGTGGGTCAACGGCTGTCGCGGCCATCGTTTGACAAAACGGAGCCGGAGAAAAAAGGGGTACTGGAGCGGCTGCTACAAGACGAAAGCAGCATACTCGTGAAAATGCCTTATGATTGCACTGGTTGATAGCTACCCCCACTCATCATTCGTGCGCTGCACGCGTAAACATGTTGTATATCTTTGTCAGCCACTGCCTCCGAGCCTATCCCCCGATTTTTTAGCCATTGTCTTGTCACCGGCGCCCAATGGATGAGGAGGAGGGAGTGCCGTGGATGCTGCCCACGTTGCCGCTTCTGCGTTAACTCCGTGAGACAGTCAATCCCACCGGAAAGTACGCGCGATCTTTTCTTTGCGTGCCGTCAGTATGCCATCGACAGCGGTCACAGCACTTCCGATGAACCTGACTGGTCCACGTACGTGAGAGGCTGCTGGGATTCTCAGGAATGTCCTTCTTGAAGCGAGATGGGCAGAATACTAGCTAGTCTTGTTTAATTTTCGAGGAAATCTGTGATAGAGAGTGCAAGCTGCCTAAGGCGCTGAACAGGGGACCAAGCCGGCGGCGTTAGACGCGCGTGAAGTTAGAGGGCCGACCGGCGTGCACTGCAGCGCCGAGTACATGTGGTGGCTTTGTTCACGTGTGCGGCCCAAGCAATGGCTGGTCGGACATTCCAGACATTTCCGCGGGGGGCTATCGCGCACGCGGCGGCCAATCAGCGGCCAGCACGTCCGGGGCAGGAACATTCTAGAACGCCCTCAACGGCTGGCACGTCATTGGACGGAATGTTCCAGAACACACAGGGGCCAGTATAAATAGCGCACCTTTCTGACGAGTTGTAACCCCTCGTGTCCGCAAGTAACCAGTAGAGAGCTTGTCCTCCGAGTCGGCTCTCTTCCTGTGCCACCTTTCTTCCAGGTCATAACAAAATTAAAGCGCGAACCTGGAGTAAACCTTTCGAAACAGACCTTTTCGGGCGCGGTCCGAAATTTAATAGGAATATTTGAGCTGAAATCCACCAGCTACTGCAGAATAACCGCGTAATATTTGAAAATTGCCAACAGACAGCCAGTAGTATAGAACAGTGTAATCATTTACCATACTAACAACACAGGTATTAGCTAAAGGCCCGTGGTAAATAATTGCATAATTATATACTACTGGACGAGTTATTGCTGAGTACCAAGCCAAGCAATAATAAAAATGATGTCCCAAAATGCTCAAGAATATCGTCCTCACACTCTCCTCCCTCTCCCATACATCGCTGGACTGTTTGAACATTCCCGCTGACCACCGCAGCTTGACCAACGCGTGTCCGGAACCGAGTTTTGCACGTTTTGGATCAGTGAAACCACTACAACCACCATTTTGGGGTCGGTAGGTGGTAGCTACCAGCCGGTCCGACCACACTTAGTTGTTCTCTTCTCTCATCACAATATCATAGTCTGTTTCGAACTGTTCACGTTTTGCTTATCGCACCAACAGAGAATGTTGGTTTTATCAAAAACGACTTTCTCACCAACCTTTACCCCTTCTAAAGGCAACTGGAAGAGCTGACTGCGCAGCGTTCCACCGAACTCATGGAAACAGCTCACCAGTTGCGAGTGAAGCAGTCAGAACTGGGTGTACTGAGAGAAAACCTGGTCCAGACTCAGCAAGAACTATTCACGGAGAAGAGTCGGAACCAGGTTCTCAAACCGAAAAGGGTGTGTGCACTTCTTTGCATATATTTTTTCCTTTTTCGGACTCAGCATCAATGACAATGACATTCAGTACGTTGCCAGGCTCTCGAAACCCACCTAAATTTGTCAGTTTGCGTATGTGGAGGCAAAACGTTTGGCTTTTCGATATGGGTTTACGTCTCCGCCACCATCACAGATCTATCTTGATTGCATACAGAACATGAAGGATTTGGTTCTTCATTGAAGCCCCGGCTCCACAGACCATCCAAATGAGTGAAGGACTAGTTGATCTCTGAGTCTGTTTTGCTGAGCGTATGACGGCGCGGCCTACTGCCCATTGGTGCCATTTACGCCGCCCTTCCACCCCCACTTCAGCGGCCTGACTCACCGTGTGATTGGCTCGACATCGATCTTGCCTCACGGCCGACTGCTTCCAGCCGGAGGGGGGCAAGCTGACTAAGTAGTCTGCGGTCAGACACGCCAATCACCATATTCGTTGTGCTAATTACACGGACGAGACTCTCATTGGCTGACGACCGGGAAAGCGTGCCAATAATTGTATTGGGGAGCGGTGCAGTTTGCATGCGCAATTTACCTTCTAGTTGTTCGTAACTGCGGGCAACCAGTAAATATCTACCACTATCGCAATTTGTCTGCTAGCTGACAAATTAACCTGCATTAAGTCACAGCGCCTGGATCAAGGTGGTTATATTCATCTGACCCAGGTTCGCAACAAATCAGCACGGCACACATATGCGCTGGTTCAAATCTCCCACACTTTTACGGTGATGCATCTATCCTCCGGAAGAGGTGACTTCTGTAAGGTAGTCTGAAAGTTTAGGTCCACCGTCAAATCCATAGTAACAAATACGAGCGGTCTTTGGTCATATGGTGCGTGTCTTCGGCGGAGAACTGTATGTCAATTTCCCACCAGGCATTTTTCCAGTTAAAAAATGACGCTGTTTTGCGTTCAGTTCGCAACCTTAAAACTGAACTTGTTTTGTGCCTCCACATAACATTTGCTTTGTAGAGAAGGGATTACCGACAAAGATCAGCCTTCCTTGACCTTGTCGGCAGACCCTTCTCTGCACGTACTGCGAGGGCTTTAGACTGAGTCCCAAGACACTGCGGAACGAACGTGTTCCGCAACCTGATCGGTGAGCGTCTTTCTACCGTATTTGTTTTGTCCATGAGGCAAATTTTGCGTATGCCTCAGGCCTCCGTTTGGCTGCATCATTCTCTCACCAAATGGTGTGCGCTGTACGAGTCAAGCCTGCGTGAACGCCGAGTTGCACTCGCACACAGTGAGCGATTATCATTGGCTGTAAATCTCTGGCCACTGAAGCAAACTGAAGGCGCCCAATGGGCTCAGTGGTGAATCCCTTGCAATTCTGATCTTAAAATATTGCTACTTATTTTGTTACGGTAGCGGGTGAAGTAATTTATACATTTTCAGAGTGGATGACTATAAGACAGCCTTATCGGCCAATGGATAAGGCGAGATGCATAATAGCGCCACCGGTACTTTTTGTCCAGCCAGGGGACTCTGAGCTTCGCCGTATTAGCCTCTATCACCACAGACTGCACACGTGAGAGGAATCATACGAACGAGGGTTTATGTGGCTGTTAATATCAGGACGATGCGGGTCATTTATGCTAATTTGGGCCTGCATGACGCACGCATGACCATGAAGGGAAGTCTGTAACGTGGCAACGGATGTACTAAGAGATTTGTTTAGAAAGCCATGACATCACATTTACCTTCCCACTTGGTTGAAATGCTTACCATAGTGGATAATTGACTAGGAAGTATCGAAGTCGTCAGCCGTCAGAATTTACCCCAACTAACGTTGCCTAAAAAAAAAACATATATCCGGCCGCAACGGTACGATCCCTCTGAATATCTGATTTCGGCACCAGCCCACATGAGCAACGATGCTAACTGCCTCGCAGGAGGACATAGTTTTAACCGGCAGTACGTGCTCCCCGACTGAAATGTTTTTCTAACCGGTTCTCAGACTTTGAAGTGTTACCTGACATTTTCTCATTTCTCCTCACTAGAAGGCAACCCAACCCTGCCAGAAAGTCTCCTCTCCCCTCTACTCCGCTGGACGAGATAAAGGACAGGTACGTGATACGCACTCCCTCCTCTTGTAAGTTTTTTTTCGGCTGCGGGTTGGGTCAGATTATTTTTTGTGCCTTGGCCCTAGTCAAGTCTGTGAAGCGAACGGTGAGCAGAGTCACGGATGGTGACTTCAATGACATACCTGGTGGCAGACCACGGTTTACAGTAACGTCCGCTTCCTGACTTAATTGGCATCATCATCCAAGACCGTTGGCCAGCGACATCTGAACTTTGTGTTGGGCCGCTTGTGTTAGCATTTAAGGCCTCCCCGACCATTCAACAGTCGGAATACTGCAGATCCGTAGTCAAACTTGTGTTGCTTTGCAACGTTGCTCGAGCAGTCTTTTCCACTTTAAGCTATATCGGCGAATTTCGATCCTTGTCGCATGAATTTCGCCGCATATTGCTCGGAAGGCGAGTTTGTCGCGGCAGCATGATACATAAGCAGAACCTAAATACGAGGACTTTCAAATCAGGTCCCTAGTGGGAAGAGGAGCCAGTAGAGAGCGCGCTGTATTTCGTGCAGAACGGGAAGAATAAGCTGGAACGGTTTAGCAGCCAGACAAGAGACGCACGTCAACATGGATGGGGCAGGTGTCCACGTGTCTTCGACGAGAGCGTGACCTGGTCAGTCTCCAAGTTAACTGGTCGGTTTGGAGAGCTTTAATGAACAGAACGTCAGACAGGGTCTCTCGGTTCTAGTGATCGACCAGACACGGTTGAAGCATCATACAGCTCCTTGTAATGTCTGCCTAACGACTGCCGTTGGTACTTACGTGCCAGACAGAGACGTAGTGACACAGCAGGCGCCCGAGGTAGGTTTGCTAAACCTTTGCACGTCTCGTTCAGCGCAGACAGAATTTGCATTCGAGGTCAAGGCCGAGCTTTAATCCCCATATGAGCTTAAATGTTAAAACCCCTACCATAACAGATCTCTTCTGACATGTTTAAAAGAATAATTGGCTAGATCGCAGTTGGTAGCCAGGCCCCGTATTACAGGTGGCTGGGTGGTTTGTTTACTGGGGCTATTTAGTGGGACTCCATGATTACATCTGACCCATTTGGCTTCCATTTTACGTTTGAGTTTAGGATTGGGGTACTGGTTAATGATTTTCGATTTTCGGGTTACGGTTAGGGTTTGAGCGTACGATTAGGGTTCAGTATTACGGTTAGGTTTTCCAGTTACGGCTATGTCTAAGGGCTGCGGTTATATCTACGATTCCGGTTAGGGTTAAGGTTGCCGTTAGGGTTAACGGTTAACGTTTAAGGTAGAGGTTAGGTTTAGGATCAGGGTTAGGGTCGCCGTCTGCTTCCCCATTCCTGGCTACCAACTGCGATCTAGCCGACTAAATTTTTGTTAATACTGTGTTTTTTCTAAGAAGAATGAGTAATTTTCATCTGTTTTCCACCTCCGTATTGCAGCAGCCTCTGCAAAACGCAAGAGACTCACTGTCGTCGTCCGAAACAGGACCTTAAATGCAACCATTGGGTCCACCGTATGACCCGTGTCCACCGGGTGCTTTGTAATTGAGGCGGCATAAATCCGTTCGATTGTGCACCGAAGTCGTCGCTTTATCACGTTTCGCACGCTATTACCCTTGGAGAGGAGTTAGATCGTCACTGGCTTTTCTGGTACTGATATTTCTTCTGGAATTCCTTGTCTACGTATAGATATCTATAGATATATATTTTATAGATATTCTATAGAATGTAGATATTCTATAGACGATATGCGGATAACATTTTCATCATAGTCAAAAACCCAGGCGACAGGGAAGTACTGCTTAAGGCTCTAAACAAAGCGCATGCAAAGATCAAATTAACGATCGAGCATGAGAAGAACGGCACATTGTCTTTCCTGGATATTCTTGTAAGTAGGCGGGCAGATGGCTCCATACAGAGATCCATCTATCGGAAAACCACCTGGAAAGGACAAAACCATGCACTTCCTCAGTTTCGTTCCACTTCAGAGAAGGCTGAACTTGGTTTTGTGCCTGTTCAACAGAGCCACCAGAATCTGTATCTCAGATACGATTGATGACGAACTCACTTTCCTAAAGAATGTTTTTCTTGCAAACGGGTATCCGGAGAAATTCATCTATCAATATCGCCATCCCAGGCAAGGAATTCCTGAAGAAATATCTGTACCCAAAAAACCAGTGACGATCTAACTCCCCTTCAAGGGCGATAACGTGCGAAACGCGATAAAGCGACGACTTCGGTGCACAATCGAACGGACTTATGCCGCCTCTAACTTGTTGTTCAGAAGCACTACAACGGCCATTCCAGTTAGACCAGCTCAACACATTTTGCCGATGCACGCCAAATCGAACTGTATTTACGAGTTTACATGTAGTTGCGGATGCGAATATATTGGGCGCACACGAAGGCAGTTGGTAGCTCGGTCAGCTGAACACATGTCGAAATGGCTGCGTAAGACGGAAAATAAGGCACCCAGGAGGTCAATTACAAACACCCAATGGACACGGGTCATACGGTGGACTAAAAGGTTGCATTTAAGGTCCTGTTTCGGGCGACGACCGGGCGTCTCTTGCGCTTTGCAGAGGCTGCCGCAATACAGAGGAGGAAACCAGAACTCTGGACACAGTTGGATCCCGTGTTAATTTTCATTTAACGTTAGATTTGGTGAAATGGTCTTAGATCTTTTGGAGCTTCGCGTCGAGCTCCCAACACTGACCTACTTTTGGGGCCCCATTCTACATGTGAGATTTAAAATAATCACGTTATCTGTGGGGATGTGGGTATTGGATTTGACCAACCCGGTTTGGATGAGAGATTACAGTGGTTTGGAGTCACTCATGACTCCCTCTTCCTAATTTTTGAGGGCCTGATTTGACCGACGTCTGCACATTAATGATTTCCTCTTATGTGACATTTCATGGGTTTTTTTACGTTACAGGCGATCAGCAGCGGACCCTAGGACCGGCGTCGAGGCAGCACAAGTAGGAGGAGGAGGAGTTGAAGAACCGACCCACCGAGCGGGCACTGGATGCCAACTTCGGCCTCCCACATAAATGCACGAGTGCGCTACCGAGTACATCACACGGACACACCTACACAGCATACTTAAGACAATATTTCCACCACAGGCACCATGATTTTCTACCATCCAGAGCCTCCACCCCGCTTAATCTACCAAAATAAATGGCCATTCATAATGACGCAGTTTGACTTGAGTACATAGCATTTCCAACGTGCATCGTTATTTCTAATCATTTGCTTCATCTGCGGTTGTGATATTCGTTTTCGAGGTGGTTTTAGGTTTTGGTGTTGCGCACTCTTCGTCTGCAAACCGGTCAATAAGGGCTATCGGACATCTCTGCCCTTTCTCCCCTCAAATGGTTTTGTCTGATGCAGACGATGTAACCGGGAAAGGGGGGAGGGGCAATTCATGCTAGGCTTTCTGATTAATGCTGACGGAACTGATTTTACTGGCGGGACGTCAGTTTATCCGCCGGTTTCGACGACGTTCACCGTGAGCTCCACAATAGGGTGAAAGCAGGGACAGTGACTTTCGCGTGAGTTAGTTTTGAGTTGTGGAACATTCCGTCCAATGACGTGCCAGCCGTTGAGGGCGTTCTAGAATGTTCCTGCCCCGGTCGTGCTGGTCGCTGATTGGACACCGCGTGCGCGATGGCCTCCCCCCGCGGAAACGTCGGGAATGTTCGACCAGCCATAGATTGGGCCGCACACGTGAGCAAAGCCACCACACGTGCTCGGCGCTGCAGTGCATGCCGGTCGGCCGTCTAACTTCGCGCGTGTCTCTAGCCGCCGGCTTGGTCCCCTGTTCGGCGCATTAGGCCGTGGCTCTACACCGCTTGCACTCTCCATAACAGTAAGGCAGTTGAACAAAGAGAGATCATGATGGAGCAGAAGTCACAGGGGGCACCTCTGCTGTTAGAAATAATACCGTCGGGAAGTTGCACTCCCTCCCGCGTAGCATCGACTACGGAATTGTGACACCAAGGCTAACACTCAGTATGCAGCTATTCGCTATCTCCTATAGCGCCTCCGTTCCTACAGTAACGACTCGTGGAAGCATAGAGGAGACATGCTACCTTAATCCTCCAAACCCACCCGGCGTACGCTCCGGAGGCGACCGTCGTTATCGTTTTGAGAGGTTTCGATGCATTAATGACCCAAGGGGGTGGGAGTCGTTCTTCCATTTGAAACAGTCTTCCGGAGGAAGCCCTCGCTAAACATAAAGCCTTAGTAACACAAGACAAAGTGGATTTACCCTCGACTGTGCCCTCATCAGGAGGCGAGATCATCCGAGATGGATGGTGTGAGGTATGGAGAGCTGGAGTGGCCCCCGACTACTTTCCGTCAAAACGAAACCCCCGATCCAAGAAGACAGAAGTCCTCCACGAAACCAGGCTCGACATCAGCTTCTTTGGAAAGCGCGGTCTTTAGACAGGAGAATGCATCTCCTGCGCCGCCAGAAAGTAATTGGAATGCACCGCGGAGTGATGGCCGCACTACCACCATGAAGGTACAGCAGATGTGCTGTCTCATAAAATGTAATACGAAGTGCGTTTTCTGACTCGAATGGCTTGCTAAAATAGAGTTTTAATAGTAATTATCGTACAGCATAATTCCGGAATATTTCGGTCACGTAAGGGTGCCGGCTTTTGAAGAAGCATTCTTACTGGCCGTCTGCAAAAAGTGCGAAAACTGTGAAAAATAAATATTCACGTGTGGGTTTTTGCAAGAACAGATTCTCCAAAATATCTGGAAACTTCGTGCGACCACATCTACAGTGCGTGACCTATCTCATGAAATGTTGGCTGAAATTCTGAAATGCGTTTTCGATTAGGAAGGATTACTTGGTCGCGGTTGTGAGACTGATTATCTTAAGGTATACTCTTATTACCTTTGGACTCGGCAGGATGTCGACTTTTAAATGCACTTCTTTTCAATCTCCTGTAGAAAGCGTGCTCGGTAAAAAATGACTACATATGTAGCATGCATTTTCCCATTGATTTTCCATGGTTTTGGAAATTCAAATATATTTTGTAGAAACCACAAACAAAAATATGTTTTCTTTTAACCAATCAATAGAGAATCACGTCTTCTTTATATTTTATACTTAAAGAAGGAGTATAATTAGGTTTTAAAAAAGTTTATAATTATGAGACTTTTTAAGACAGCGATATGTCCATTCACATAGCATCGTACCTGGCCGCTTACCACTTCTCCTCATGAAATATACAACATGGTCTGCATCCATTGCAAAATTTTATGGACCCTGTATAATATCTCTTTAATGACATAGAAAAGTATGTGAGTTTCTTTACGCGGAACGCATGAACCTTGTAGAGTGTAATCACTAAGCGGTACTGCAACGAATGATCAGGCTCCAAATTTTTCGGCAATCAGAAAACATTTTAAAACCTAATTATACTCCTTCTATAAGTATAAAATATAAAGAAGACGTGATTCTCAATTGATCGATTAAAAGAAAGCATATTTTTGTTTGTGATTTCTATAAAATATATTTGAATTTCCAAAACCATCAAAAATCAACGGAAAAAATGCATGCTACTTATGTAGTCATTTTTTACCGAGCACGCTTTCTACAGGAGATTAAAAAGAAGTGAATTTAAAAGTCGACATCCTGCCGAGTCCAAAAGTTAATAAGAGTATACCTTAAGATAATCAGTCTCACAACCGCGACCAAGTAATCCTTCCTAATCGAAAACGCATTTCAGAATTCCAGCCAACATTTCATGAGATAGGTCACACACTGTAGAATATCAAAAGCGGGAATGGCGTTCACCGGGAGGGATTTATTGGAGGTCCGACGTTTCGAGTAGTTGATTCGCCTACCCATCTTCAGAGACTGGAAAGTCCTGCGCACAGCTCCCCTTACATGGCGTACTTTGATCAATGCGTGACTCATCAATGCCGTCTGTGTGGCTGCATTCAACCCGCATGTCACCGTGACCTGAATCGCCCCCGTCGGCCGCGGAGATGACTGACGACCCCGATTGTCCTGCTCCGTGACTGTCCCCCACTAAGAAGGTTCGTACAGTCAGATAGGGGGGAGGTAAATCGATGTGGCGGTTGACAGAGCAGTCGGTGGACACCCGAGTTTCTTGTACTTGCCTTGCTGTATGATCACCGTCCCGGCCCACAATCTCAACGGCGTTAAAGTTGAAGACGCGTCGCATCTGCGTGGCATGAGTTGCTACCGCCGACTTTGAGTCCAACATTTTCACGGCCAACTTATGCTCGTGAATTCACGTTTGCAGCCATCGGGCTTGTACTCCTCGAATAGTCGTCTCTCGAGTTTTGTAGAACCGCCTCGGCAATGAGCCCGGAGAGGGGTGAACCCAGAGAACTCGAGAGACGACTATTCGAGGAGTACAAACCCACGTTTTGGGCAGGCTACGTTGACACCTTTGTAATCATCGACCTGGATAAAATCAATTACTATGCGGAACTACTGAAATCAATCATTCCCGATTTACAGTTCACGATGGAAGAGGAAGTAGGGAACAAACTTCCATTCTTGGATGTTCTCGTCTGCCGCCAACCAAACGGCAAACTAGCGACGTCGGTCAACAGAAAACCGACGAACACGTGGCAGAGGCTCAGTTACAACAGCAGCCACCCGCTACAACACAAACGAAGCTGTGTCCGCACGCTATGCCGACGGGTGGAAACTCATTGCAGCACGTCAGCCGCCAAACTGGACGAGATAAAGGTCCTCCAAGAACTCTATAGAGCCAACGGATATCCGCGGGCACTCACTGAACGGAATCGAAGGCAGTCAAAGAAACGGAATGAAGAGCATAGTCAAACTCGTGGCGGAGCATTCCGTACATTAAAGGGGTCTCCGAAGCCGTGGCTAGACCCCTCGCGCCACTCGAAATAGGTGTTGCCCACAGGTCTGACTTAAAAATCCGCCGGCAAGTGATGCGGCCAAAAGATCCGATCCCTAAGGAGGAGATGACAGTCGTTGTCTACCGACTTCAATGCAGCTGCGGAAGGTGCAAATACGTTGGAGAAACCGACCGACGGCTGCAAACGCGAATTCACAAGCATAAGTTGGCCGTGAAAATGTTGGACTCAAAGTCGGCGGTAGCAACTCATGCCACGCAGATGCGACGCGTCTTCAACTTTAACGTCGTTGAGCTTGTGGGCCGGGGCGGTGATCATACAGCAAGGCAAGTGCACTAAGACTGGATGTCCACCAACTGCTCTGTCAACCGCCACATCGATTTACCTCCCCCCTATCTGACTGTACGAACCTTCTTAGTGGGGGACAGTCACGGAGCAGGACAATCGGGGTCGTCAGTCATCTCCGCGGCCGACGGGGGCGATTCAGGTCACGGTGACATGCGGGTTGAATGCAGCCACACAGACGGCATTGATGAGTCACGCATTGATCAAAGTACGCCATGTAAGGGGGAGCTGTGCGGAGGACTTTCCAGTCTCTGAAGATGGGTAGGCGAATCAACTACTCGAAACGTCGGACCTCCAATAAATCCCTCCCGGTGGACGCCTCTCCTTCATTTGATATGCCATATGGGAATCGCATTTTCACTACTATTGACACCTAGAATACGCCATACAGGCACTGAGACCTTGGGCTGTCAAGGACCGTACCGTCTCAGAGGAAGTCCGGAGGCGAGGGACAAAAAATGACCAAGGCGCTCTGGGAACAAAGGTCTATGAAAGCAGACTGTCAACCCTCAACCCAATCCCCTTCCCTACAGGCAACTACAAGGAAATATCATACCAACCTTCTGCATTATGAGCGGCTTGGACTGTTGCTATTTTCTCAGGGCATTTTCACTCAAGTTAACAGGCCTGCTTTGCACGGTTATCCCTAAATATACGCCCAGATAAAGAAAAGATGAATGGATGGAAGTTTTCCTGAACTGACAAAGTGGTTGTAGAGTGGAACGCCCT